CTAGGATGAGTGAAAATTTTAGACAAAAAATATATTCTGACTTTTAGCTCTTTTTCTTTTCTGTTGTCCTTTTTTTGGAGTGATTGTTATATTTATGTTTTATTCATTTTTTGCCCTTTTTCCCTTTTTCCTTATTGTAAGTAATGCATAGTTTTTATTATTTAATTAGGGAATTTTAGTCTCTCATCTTTTGTCAACTGCTTTGTGCTCTTACGTGTGATGTTGTTAAAGGCTATACATCTGTTCTCTATCTCTGTATTTAAGAATGTGGCTGCACATGGATTTATCATGCATATCCCTGTTTCTTTTGGTTGCATTTCTCGTTTTTGCTCCCCTATCTCACCTTCCATCATTTATTGCTCTGTTTCATCGTCCATCATTTACTGCTTGATCATTTTATCTCTGTGTCTTTTACTCCTTCTGTTCACGTTTGGTTGACTGCTATTTCAGACTTAAAGCAATATTTATAACGTTATAGGTACTGTTAACAATCCTTATCCATAACTTTATAATTTATGGTGATGATATTGGATGTATTGGTTTGTTGTGGTGGTATTAATGTTTGTCGTTTGTGTTTTAGTATATGTCTTTGTTTTACTTTGTATTTGCTTAGTACATGATATTTATGTGTTGACTTGCTGATTTGTTTCTTAGTCATGTGTATATATGTACCTTTACTTATCTTACTTTTGGTAAGTTTTTTTTTTTTTTTTTTAACGTGGCAATGATGATCATAATTCATTTTGATGTGTTGATTTTGGTGTAATTTGTCTCAAGATTGCTGTGAATGTGTTTTCCTTATTTGGATTCAAATTTTATCTATTGTTTTTTAGTTAGATTTTTTGGTAAATTCTCCTTTTGTTATTTTGACTTATTGCATACCTTTTGCCTTCTTTGTATTGACTGTTTCATTCAAAAACTATTTATAAGCATGTTAACTTTCTTTTTCCATTGCTGAGCTTTAGCTTTTCTATCATGTTCTTACCGTTTCATACAAAAAAACTATGGGGAAAAAAAAAACAGAGACCCTGCTATTTATTTTGGTCCTCTCATGATGCTCTTCATCTTTTGATTGCTCTATTTGTTGCTCCTTAATGTGTTTCTCTTCTCTGCATCTTTTACTTTCTTTCGTCATGGATTGCAGGCTTTATTGCTCTGTTGGTGTCGCTATTTTTTTTCTCCCTCTTTCAATTCACCTGGTTTCTTAAACATTTTCTATTCATTTGCCAACAGATGTCATTGATATCCTGACAAAAGTGCAAACAATTGAGCAAACAAATGTCAACAACAGACCAACATCACGGTGCACTATAATGATACAAAACATAAGGTAAATAAACTCCACATAACTTTCATCATAACCATGTCAGAAAAATTTATGCTCAATAAAAGCGCAAAATTTTTACATCGTCCAGAACTTTCTATTTTAACTTTCTTTTTTTTCCCAACAAGAATGAACAACTTTAAGTTACCTTATGGGGACATAAGGTAGACCAATTTGATAAAAATGTTCTAAAGTCAATGAAAGGACCAGTTGTAGTTATTTTTACAACAATATTGGTCAAGTAATATCTAGGTACGTATTTTCTTAGCAATTTATAAGGATAATTACATACAAGAATAAAACACATGCACCAACATACACCGAGATATTAATTAATTAATTGTAAATATCTTAGGCAATATATATGTCTCAAGTACTGCAGCAACAATTTTTTACATTGACCCAGATATACCAGAAATAACAACATTAAAGACAAGGTAACAAAAATAATCCACAAAATCTCAAAACTGAAAACCTTTTATTACTTTTTCTTCTAACTATTGTTAATTTTACATATGTAGATTCTCTCACCAAAGTCAAGAAATTGAGTTCCCAATAGCATCAGTGGCACCAATACAATCCATTGAAGAACAAAAAACACAAAATAAAAAAACAATTAATGAGCTAAAACATTAAGTCAAGAAAGCAATCAGGTTAGTATCATGATATTCCCCGTACTTCTTTTTCTCCAACTACACTATTCAAACAAACGACTTCTCCTCATCTATGTAGGGTGTAAGATTTACAGTAAAAACTACCATAACTGGGTTCTCAACAGACTAAGGCTAGTATTACAACTCTTGTCCCAGATGTTATCGACAACTAAAGCAAGCAGGAACTGGTAATTGGTGTGACAGTCATAGACACATAAAAACAATGCCATCTCTATAGTAACCAAGATTACAAATACGCCATTACGAAAATGTATTTACCCTCATTAGCTATAATAAATAATTTATTACATGAATCATCTATCATTATATATATTACAGGTACAGGTTAATCGTACAAATCGAGGATGACACTGGAAACATGGACATCCCTATATATGGCAGAGCAGCACAGGCCTTTATCAAAAAATAATGCTCCGCACCAACAATCGATGAAGACTTCACCGATCCTTTACAATCCCACCAGTCATTGCTCAGTTAAGAGGACAAACGAAGACCTTCCAAATATATTTTCAACAAAGAGGAGCACAAATGATTGCAATCGTTTCAAAAATATTTGAAAATACTCAACCTGCAATGCCATTGCCACAAATATCAGCCACCGCAGCACCAACAACAAGGTAAAACATGTATACTAATTTATATCAACAACACATAAAAAATGATATTTATTATTTCAAATATATGTCTAAACAATATTTTACCATTTCGGCCCTCGCTAAAAAACAACAGCATCAACTCCAACATCAATTCACCCACAAACACCAGACCCACAAAAATCAGGCACAAGGTAAGACATATTCACTAATCTACATTATTCACGAATAAAAAACAATCTTTATAATTCTAGACACATATCTTAACAACCTTTTATCATTTCAGTTCTCAGTCAAAAGAAACAGAGCAATCCAGAAAACGCCCAAGCACCAGACAATATAACTACTCTTAAATTAATATATTTCTAATTTCCTCAATTATTAATACTAATTTTTTCAAAATTTATCTTTTACAGCTAAAAAAAATAGAACAACAAACAAGGATAAAAACTCAAGTACACAACGTACTTATGACAATATCATATATACATATCCATATGTAAATATGTACATAAAAAATAATTCTGTACTATAAAAATTATTAAATTTTTGTATAATATAAAATTATTACCCGTTTCAACATGCGAGTACGTACGCAGCTAGTATAACTTAATGACAATTAAAATAGGGAACACTATTTATTTATTTAAACCATATATAGGACAGGTTGGCTCCTATTTTGGTTAATCACAATTTTTTTTTCTCTTTTAATTTAATTATTGCGGAGTCGGTTGTTGGTGTAGGAGGTCCAATCCATTTCGTATAAGTGCTGAAAAAATTGTAAAGATGCCGTTTTCGATAAATAAAATGCACAAACATTTGCTGTAAAATTATTATTCGAGTGACTGCCTATTTCCTTTTACAAACTTGATATTAAGTTGTGCATACCTAATATCATGCTCTAAATTTTTGAAAATTGTTTCTTCTTCGAATTGGTTAATACTAGCATATCTGTTTGCAATTTTGCAATACTTCACGTGAGAAGAGGAACTAAATGATTAAAAGATTTCTAGATTAAATTATAACTTTTCTCCTTTGGATCTCTTTAGATATTACTCCCTAGCGGAAACACTTGCAATTTTCACTTATGGCTATTATGATCGTGCCCTAAAAGAAAAAAGAAAAAAGAAAAATTGACTCCGGTTATTTTCACTGATTGAAACATGTGTAGTCAACATTAACTAAAAAAGACTACTGGTAAACAAAACTTTTCTTTTAAAAGAAAAAATACTAGTAACGTGTCTTTCTTGGCTAGAGATGATACAAATTATTCAATCATCATTTTGTTTCTTTCTTAAACTTATACTCTTTTTTTTTTTTTTTTGCTAGTATTATGCTCTTGATTTGAGAGGGAAATTAAACATGTCCAAAATATATACATGTGTTTGTTTATTATCCACCTCTTTTCCTACAGAAGCCATTCGCCAAGCTGACGAATAGAATTTCACCCTTAAAATAATTTTACATAATACTAACAATAATCTTAAACTAATAGCAAGAGAGATCCACAAGATCAAATATCGGCGTATATTTAATTAACAGATTACAATAAAAAAAAATGGAAGAGCAAAAAAATAAAGTCAAATTTTGATTAGAGGTCAGTTAGGCAACGCCGCATGTATTGGCTACAAGAGACCAATAAAAAGGAACCGTCCATGTGGAAAACAAGAGCCAAGCCTAATTAAGATAATTCACAATTAATGCTTATAATTTTGGCCCCCGTACAGATCGATTATTAATTAACAGCGGATTACAACACCGTTTAAACTTTAGCCCTAAAGTCTAATCTAGAAAAACTTATAACCAAAAAAAAAAAAAAAAAAAAAAAAAAAAAAAAAGAAAGAAAAAAGAGGTGAGTATAAAATTGATGCTACGCAGCTAAGAATGATGACCCCCCTATTCTCTCTTACAGTAACTCTCAATCTCAATGATGATGAGTAGTTGTGTGTCATTCTATACAAACACACACACACACACACACACACACATATATATATATATATATATATTTAATTGATTTCTTATTGGGCTTTCCATTTCCATCAGCTACCATCCGTAAACAAATAAATTAACCTTTCGTAAGCTTCCACCATAGCATGACATTGACTAGCGTGCTGATTCAGGACCACTTTGTCTCTCTCTCTCTCTCTCTCTCTCTCTCTCTCTCTCTCTCTCTCTCTCTCTCTCCTAACTTCACTTTGGTTTTCCATTGTTCTGTGGTCTCCACAAGCACGTCATGGGTTCCGGTTCTTGCCTTATCTTCTTATCTACTAATTTGTATTTTTTTGGTTTTGCCTACTAACACATATTTTCTTCACTGCCGATTATTAACAAGATTGCGTTTAACGCAGGCCTTCCCTTTCTTCTATACTTCGTCTTCATCGAATATTTAAAATATGTCCAAAAACAACTTTAAAGATCACGAACATGATCACATATAAATATAATAAATTTACAGCGTTAAGATTAATATCATAAACCCAAAAGAAGAAGAAGAAGAAGAAGAAGAAAGACTAAAAAGATAAATATAATTCTGACCGACCAACAAGATACTAACTAACTAGCTAAGGTTGGCCTTTTCATTCGAAATTCAGCCGGTTTTCGTAATTGCATGCTACAATCAAAAAGCTTAAAAAGCCAATCAAACAGAATCCTTTTTTATTCCGTTTTAATCCATCTTCGCGCGGTTTCACCACTTGCACTTGTAAAATCATCAACTAACGGTGCAACATGGAAAGATAAAGAGAGATGATCGTCATCGTCATAATCCAAAACTATCTAGAGAGAGAAAACATCATGACCAAAAAGAGAGAGGAGATCATAAGAGATTATAGACAGTCGAGGATTCGCAGCAATAATAATAATAAGAAGAAAAAAAGAAAGAACAATTCTTATAAATCTCATCTCTTTTTCAATGATCTTCATCGGAGTCTTCCGGGTCCGGGTACTCGTTTAAGTCGGGCGTGGGATTAGATTTGGACGGAGACGACGTGGCATGGAGAGCGGTCTGTATGGCGTCCACCTTGGCACCGATCTCGGTGGCTCGCTTGCGGATGGAGGCGGCGGACATGTCGGTGAGGCGGTCGTCTTCCTGGAAGATGAGTTCGGGGAAGTTAAGGCGAGCGGACGGTCCTCGGAGGTAGAAAACCGCCGTGTCGTAGGCCCGAGCCGCCGCGACCGGGGTGGTGTATGAGCCGAGCCAAATCCTTGACCTCTTGTTCGGCTCTCTTATCTCCGCCACCCACTTCCCCCACTTCCTCATCCTTATTCCCCTGTACGGCTTCTCCGCCGCTTGATTCATATGATGATGATTATGATTATGATGATGATGATGATGATGATTTTGATGCTGTACTTGTCGCCTGATCGGCTTACGCTTCTCGGCGCTGTTATTAGTTGATGTTGAAGAAGTCGAACAGCAGTACTGATCAGACTGATCTCCTAATTCCATTTTCCAAAAGATAGATTTTAGAAATATTTTTTTGGCTTGGTACAAAACCCCAACAAAGAACTGACTTGGTGTGTGGAGGTGAAGATATATATGATTGATATAATATATGAGCGGAGGCTGAAATTGTATTTGTGTGTTGTGTATCAGTATATTTCCTACTTGGCTGCTACTCTGTCGTAAGGACACGGCCGCCACGTTGATCTGCCTTTAAGATAAATCTAAAGTTGGCCGACATATTCCATCACCTCCCACCTTTCAGTCTCTCTCTCTCTCTCTCTCTCTCTCTCCTCTCTAGTATAGTATGTGTTCTCTCTCTCTCTCTCCTCTCTGGAATAGTATGTGTTTTGTGCTCCTTTTTATAAACTGATATTTATATTCCTTTTATACTCTGTGATCTCTGAGGGGCTTGGCTCAGTGAGTCTGAAAAGGCTTATTGCAGTTTATTTATAAATAAATATATTTATTGTTAAATAAAATTTATGAAAAGAAGTACCGATTGAACGGACGTAGTTTTGTTAATTTTTGTGGAGGTATAATAACTTGCCGACGTGTACGGTTACGCCTCTCGTACGTAATCACACCCAACATCCATCCGCCCTAGCCGTTCCTTTGCTTTGTGCTAAGGTAAGGTTTTTCTTTTGGTTTGTCAAACTCATGAAAGAAATAACTGGTCCATATATTATAATAATATTCTTTTTCTAATTAAATTATTATTTTTTTAATCTTTATTTTGGATGATTGTCTTGGGTGGTATGCTTTGTGGGAATAGTTTTATCGGCATTTCTTTGGATAGAGAAAGTCGGTGGTTGATGATGGACGGATAGATGTGGATGTGTGTTATAATACTATGTATATATATATATATATATATATATGGACAGATTATATTGGACCTAGCTAGCTAAGGGGGGTTTTGAGAATGACTCTCTCTCTCTCTCTCTTTCCGTCCACGCAATGACCAACCCCAAGTGGTAAAAGCAAACGCAGACTTGAAATAGTTTTAATACGTATCCCTGGTTAATTTCTCATTTTGTATTTCTTCTAATTATAGTATATATTTTGGTAGGGGTTGGAGAAAACTATAGTTATCTATCTGTTGTTTTGATCCTTTTGGATTTGAAATTTATATTCAAGTTTGGTTTTGATGATTAGCGTAACAGTGGTATTGCTGTTGTGAGGGCGTTAAAAGTATGACTTGCTAATTATTAGGAGAGGCTGGGACACATGTGTAGCAAATATGTGGATAACCATTACCTTAAGGGAAGTTCTGGTCAATTTTGTTTATTAGACTTCTAACACCTTGGAAACTTCAATATATATCCAATACTCTCCGTCTAAATGACAACATATACAGTATAACTATTATATATATATATATATATATATTTGATAAAAAAAAAAATTTAAGATTCAAGTTGGTCTTCCTAGCTAGCAGTATTCTTATTATATAAATAAATGAATTTATAACACTTAATACTTAACCCGGTTAGTATTGGAATTGAATATGTGTAGGAACTACTGTATTGGTATTATACGGAGTGGAAAAATCTTGTCCATTCAAGACAGGAGGGTTTTTGCGTGATACATCTCAGTTAAAGACAAAAGGAAGAATATAAGAAAAGATAGTAGTAATATACATTAGGAATTGATGAAATTTACTGTAATATTGGACAAGACTCAACATAAGGAAAATATATATATATATATATATATATATATATATATATATATATTAATTTGTCTAAACGTTGCTCAAAGGAGGCAAGAAAACGGGTAAACCGGAAAAAAGTTGTTTCGAAGTTCATAAACAACAGCTTAATGAAGCAAATGTAGCCTTTAAAGGAGAATAATAATATAGAAATGTGGAACAAGACAAACTTCCAAACCTACATAATTCATAGATCACTGAACAAGTACTATACACCATTTTAATAACAGGGAAGATCATGTAAAATCAGACATTGGAATTTGAACAAAAGCTATATATAAACAAAACTAAAATTACTATAGCTCCTTGTGTTTCGATTTTATGTATTATGATATCTTTCTGATCTGTTGATTTTTCAATTTTCTATAGCAGAAAAGATTCTTTCCCTCAATCCTATGTATTTGCGTGGTCCAAATCTTCAAAAACATGATGAATAATCAAAAGGGTGGGTTTAAATTAATCTGTCCTTTTTCTTTTCTCTGCCGTAAATCATATAAGAAACTACACCATATCCAATATATGTGTGTGTGTGTGTGAGAGAGAGAAGCGGAATTTAGTAAAAATATTAATTCTAAGTTCATAAACATTCATTGCACATAAAAATTAATCTTTTGTCAATATATATAGAAAAAACAAATATATTATTTTCCCAAGATTTTTTTCCTTCTAGAGAATGAGATACAGATAGGGGAAAATATTATAAAAAAAAAATTAAAATATATATATATATATAGAGGAAAGGAAAGGAAAAGAAAATAAATTATTAGGGTGGACTTAAGATTTTCTGTTTGGGAAAAATTGCATACCGGACATACTGAATCCATTAGGAGGGTGAAACATCGGCCATGATGATGATGAGGAAGACCCGAGAAATAATGGCCGTTGACCTATAGCAACAGCTGGTGGTGATGATGAAGAACGAGCATTAAAATCAATACCCACTGCACTTGATCCTGATCTTCTACTGGTACTACTCATAAGATTAACAAAATTAGGCTGCTGAGCAAAGGAGGTGATCTGATCAGCTGCGCCGAGACTAGAGTAAGCGCCGCTGATTTGATCATGATGATGATGATTAGGCCCTTGATCGTAAAGAATACCCTTGAAAACATGGCCTCCGATGCCCACACTCGTCTGATACGCATACTGCTGCTGCTGATGATGATGATCAGGACCTCCATCGTCCACCATGGAGCTCACTCGCACCACGTGAAATGTCGCCATGGCGTTCACTTCCAATGGGAAATTCTTTGCCCCATCACCATCATGATCTCCTAACCCTAGAAAATGAAAAGTAAAAAAATATATAAAGCCTATAATTGGAAAAAAAGGGACATCATTTATTCAATTTTAATTTTAATTAGAGCAATTAAACCAAAAAAAAAATAAAGTAAAAGAGAAAGTTGTAGAAAGAGATAGATATAAAGATATATAGCGATATAGCTATAGTAGGGAGTATAGTACTGAGAGAGAGAGAGAGAGAGAGAGAGAGAGAGTTGGGAGTTTCTCTGAAAAATAAAATTTTTTGAGCCACCATAATTTTACTTTTTTTAACCGTATTTGTATTAAAAATTATTTATTATGCATATTTTTTTTAATTTTATTAATTTTAATCAGATTTAACATTTAAAAAATTAATTTAACCGGTAAAAAAGTCTATTAAAGACCGTCCCAAACAAATTTCCCGAATATGTTTTTGGGAGTTTCTCTGAAAAATAAAATTTTTTGAGCCACCATAATTTTACTTTTTTTAACCGTATTTGTATTAAAAATTATTTATTATGCATATTTTTTTTAATTTTATTAATTTTAATCAGATTTAACATTTAAAAAATTAATTTAACCGGTAAAAAAGTCTATTAAAGACCGTCCCAAACAAATTTCCCGAATATGTTTAACTTTTATTCTTCCTTTTTATTTTTATGAAAACAAGGAAATTTTCCAAACTGTAATTTTAGGTAGTCTCTCAAGAAAGGGGGAAAAAATCACACAGGCACTCCCACCAAAACAGATGATGTGATTAACCATGATTAGTGAGGAGAAAAGAGCAACTAAAACTTTTGAATATCTAATATGTAAGGAAGAGATTAAAGTCCGTTCATTTTACTGATTTGAATTTAAAATTTGAGTTTTGTTACAGTTAAAAAGCTCTAAGAAATAATCATATTTAACTTTTTTACTACAGTAAAAAATTTTCACATAAAATCACATCTCAAATCAAATTACAAATTTAAATCAACGAACTAAACGGACCCAAATTTCTTAGTTGAGAGGTGGTCTGAGAAGAATTGGACCTTCTCATCTCCAACAAATCATCAAACTCCCAAAGGACCAAAAGCTCAAGAGTCACAAGTCTCCACTACTTGCCACTAGGCTGAAAACGACTTCTGTCGGCTGGGAAATATCAAGTGATCAATACGCATAAAGAATGAGAAGAAATATTGCAGAGAGCCACCTGGCTATCCAACATATTACGAATAGTGCATATACATAAATTCAACCGTTACATGATACAAGTCCCCAAGATCAAGCTAAAATAATGTTGGTGTCGCTACATGATACATCCTTCAACTACACACCACTGACTATTGTCCATCAAGTACAAAAGAAATCCCAATAGAGAATGATTAATCCGTATAAACTTAGAGAAGAATTAATCAAAATTATACTATGCTGTCATTGCGTTTACATAAAATGCATGACCAACATGAAAATTTTTCCAAACTCATTACCGTGAACCATGATGTTCCAGACAAAAGGTTTATAGTTCTGATTTAACAGACGTTGGACTGCACCGTGGTACATTATTCAATAAGCCCGACTGGCCGTTTGTGGAGCACATAATACATTTACATTGTATGATAATCTCTCTCAATCTCCATGAAGAAGGCAAATATATACACAGTTTATCTCATGTCCCTTTTTTATATTTAGGCTTTTTTTTTTTTGGCATAAAATCCCCTAAACTTTTCGTGTTTGGCGGATTGGTTGTTAAACTAAAAATTTTACAATCTAACTCTTTAAACTTTAAAATGTGTTGCACTGTTAGTCATTTTGACGATATCTGTTAAATCTTAAACGGCTTTTGCATGTGATTCCCAGCGTGACATACCTCTCAAGAGCATTAGTGGTCATTTCATAACTAAATTAAAAAAAGAAACAAAAACACCAGATTCCTTTGTCTCATTGCATCACCCAACAGATAAAAGATGTCAATACTAATGGTATTTGAACTACCAAGCCAAGCAAAATGATACGTATTCAACAAAACAGAGTTTTTTTTTTTTTTTTTAGTCGAACAGCAAATCAGAGTTAACAAACAATTGTTTGAAAAACAAAAAAAAAAAAAAAAATCATAATTAAGGTGCCCCATGCTTTAACTCGGGTTCACCATGGCAAAGTTAGGCACTAGAATTTTCAACTTGCAAAACCTTAATGATACAGAATAAACCCAGATTAATTTAGTTTTTTTTTTTTTTTACCCATATTGACAAACCTAGATAAACGAACCCGGATTAAAATAAAAAATGTCAAAATATCGAAATGTTAAGAAGCTTACTTTTTGCACCTTACGGCAGGAAGAAAAACACGCGGCTTTGCTTTATTTGGTGAGAGAACAAATTAGTTCGGATGAGCAGACATTAATATTTGTATCGACAAAACATAATGTGGAGTTTCTTAATATTTTGTTCAGAGATCCAAGCTTGGTATTTTTTTTATTTTAATCTGGGTTTTCGGACTGAGATCCGAACCCAAATAAATGTCAGTACTGATATCCAAACTTTCGGACACAAACAAAGCAATAAAATCCCTATGTTTCTCGGCAACCAGCTATACCAGATGAAGAGAGAGGAAGAGAGAGAGGGCGCTAAACCATAATCAAGGCAATACCAGATGCGGCGATAGCTCTTCTCCGGCGGTGGCAGAAGGGGAAGGGCATGAGAAGAGAGAGGCAGCGTGAAGGAGATGGGCCTTGGGGCTTTTATTTTGTGTGTGTGTGTGTGTTTTTATTTTATTTTATTTACCTACTTATTTAAAAAGAAAAAGACCATCAATACCTTTACTAATAGTTCAAGTGCAAATCACGTGAAAAAAAAATCGTTTAAAATCATTCAATTTTTAACAAACGTTATGAAAAGGACTGTCAATACAATACATTTCAAAAATCAGGGAGTTGATTGTAAAAATTTTAGTTTAAAGATCAATCCGCCAAACACAAAAAAAATTTAGGGAGGTCCATGTAAAAAAAAAAGCCTTTTATAATAACAGTTTCTCGGTAGATCCAAAGTGTGTACTTAAAAAAAAAAAAAGAAAAAAAAAAAAGAAGACAATGTGACGGTGGAAGTCTGACCCAAGTGTCACTGTGAATTATCCAATACAAATCACAAAAGAACAATTGCACGACAAGTTTACAGCTAAAACGGATATATTAAACCAACTAGGCAAATTGATGATTTGTTCTGTTCCATAACAGATTCATTTACCCTCCATATTGAGATAACACACCATACTGAAATTTCAAAACAGATAACAAGAATCATGAGTATGAGGTGTTAGATTTGTGGTTTGGTGGTAGTATTACTGAGTGCATCTCTTTTTAAGTAGAATTGAGTTGAATCACTTTCGTTTTATTAATGAGCTTTTACACTTTTTTTATGAACGAAAAGATAAAAGACGAAACGACACTAATAATTTTTTTAAATTCAAACAAAAAATAAAAATAAAAAATAACAACTCATCTTGTCAGTCTACTGTGCGGACATTTGTATTTCTATAGCTCCACCTCCACTACCCTTTATCTATGGCCTCAGATATAATAATTCATACTCTGTTCAGGTCGTTTTCTTTTAGGTGTTTTCGTGACTTGTGGCCCAATGAACACCAGCCTCACTTCTCAATGGAGAAGTCATCCCGCATTAAGCTTTTAGTACATACAACTTTGCTTAGAGCTGCCATATCAAATACTATAGATAAAGGTTAGTATTGCTGTTTCTGCCATATCAAATACTCAATGGAGAAGTCTACGTTGGAATTTTTGTCACCTTCAACTTGGGTAACCCTCCTGTCGGCGCGCTCACTAAGGAAACTTCCACATGTATAACTGTAACTACATATAATCACTCAATTCTAGAAGGCGGCAGATCCTACGATCACCGTCTAAACTTAACAAACACCTTATAATTCTTTTCATTTATGTCTTTTCCAATCAGCCAACTTCATGTGCGGAAACTAAGGACTCGTTTGTATCTTTGAGTTGTAGTTATTTATGTGTAAATTTGAAGTTGAATTTAAGTTATAATTTGAGTTAAAATTATAACTTAAGTTTGTATTTAGATGTGCACATTTGAATTATAATTTGAATTAAGAATTTATTTGAATTTGTGTTTGAATGTGTCAAAACTTAAATTTGTATTTAAATAGTATTTTAATAAAAGCTCAATAGTGATGAAAAATTTTAATAAGGTATATTGATGGGATTTTATTCGTCTCTTCGTTGTGAACGCATAAAAAATCATCTCAATCGGATTAAAACGAAAAAGTTATAACGTTTTTAAAAATAGAAAAAATATTGTTCATTAACTTGAGTTTGAATTTCTTGTTCATTTCACCGATTCGAGTTTTGCTACAATAAAAAACTCTCAGAAACAGTCATCTAACTTTTTTACTACAGTAAAAAACTCACATAAAATCACATCTCAATTCGAATTAAAAACTCAAACCAGCGAACTAAACGGGCCCTAAGAATTTGAGTTGAGGGGAAAACTTAAACTCAGATTTTAGCCTCAAACTCAATTTAAAACTCAAATTTTATAAACGAACATAAATTTAAAAAAAAAATTGTAACTTAAATTCAATTTTTTTTTTAGTTTTACTCCAAAGAACAAGCCCCAAATATTTTCACGTTATCCAAATTTTATCTCAAGCGGCCAAAGTCACCATTGGTTTTCAGTAGTGGAAACTGAATTTGGCTTCCTGATAATGATAAGAGGAAATGCAAATTCATAGAATTTGTAAATTGCAAAGTAAAGAACTAAAACACACTATCTATAATTAACTATTGTTGTTTTGTATTGTATTGGCTTTGAATCACTAACATCCCGTTTGATTGAAAGATTTATTATCTGATTTGAATCATGATTCATGATTCGTTATAATATTTTTTCTTATAAAAAATACACATAAATTAAAAATGATTCCACCCTCACCGGATAAATCCGGAGAAGGACAACAGCTAGGCAGACTCGCAGGAAGATGCTACTGATAGTAGTCCGCTTTGTGAAAGTCCCAAAAAAGCTCACTTCGCGGCAGCGACATCCATCCAATGAGATATGCTTCGGGTAACATTCCCTCATCTGAAATTTCATTTTTGGTGGGAAATGTTCTTTATTTTAGATAATGAAACCATTTCATTACTACCAACCCAAAGAAATACGATCTCAATCTCATAATTTTAATGTACGAACTAAACGGGCTCTATCTATCCAGCCACCGTAAGGCATCACGTTAGACTAAAGATGAGACAACCTCAAAACTGTAATCAAATATCCATGAAAATAATTTTGTTCAAGAATTGTAAGCATTGAAATGTTCAAAAAAATGTAGACAATCAGGCAGGAAAAAAAATTAATTACCTCCATCGTAAACAATCAAACTGTACATCCTCAACATCACTTTTCCAACCCATATCAATGTAGCTAGTTCTTTCTCATTTACATGTCAAAAAATCCAATCTTCCACTTCCATTTCCTCATCATCACTATCCCCAAACAGATACTCTTCTTCACCCATTTCCTCTGCCTCCCATTCTTCCTCTTCCCCTTCCGAAAACGCCGAAATCCTCACGCCATTTAAGCGATCGCTCGTCACCACAAGCTCATCAACAACTCTATCAAGATCACCAACATCATCAAAACCATCATCACCAAACATCTCATCGCTTCCACTCCTACGCTTGGGCACCAAATCGCTCTCCGTAATCTTCCCATTCTCGACCTCAATCCACGGTACCCACACGTCGGCGTGCCGCCCCAGCGCCTTGTCCCAATCCCCGACGACCACCGTCCCTAAATTGGCGTTCCTAGCCCTCCTCAACATCTCCGAGAAATCCGAATCGTCGGAGACCAGAAACAGCCAATCGATCCCTCTGCTCATCGAGTGTTGCATCTGCCGCTTCAGCGCCCAATCCGCCGCCTGAGGCTTGTCCTCCACCGTCTTCACGAAAACCCCCGCCCGACGGAGCTCCGACGCCAGCCCGTACCCGACTTTCGGCGTCAGCAAATCCCTCGCCGCCTCGTTGTACTTGTGGTTCCCCGAGATGTGCCGCTCCTTAAAACGCTGCCGTTTCTTCCCCTTCAGGGATTTCAACCGGTTCAGCTTCTTCTGCCGCTCCCGCTCGTGGAGCTGCTTGAAGTGCTTCTTGAGGTCGAGGTTGGTCTTGCACTTGCGGCCGCAGACGCTGCAGACGTAGGGCATGGAAGGGACGGCGACGCCCTTGCGCTCGAGGATGTCGAGGGTCTTCCTCTGGCGGCGCTGGTCGAGGACCCACTGGGGAAGGTGCACGAAGGCGTGGCGGTTGGCGTAGGCGGAGGCGTCGACGACGTGGCCGAACTTCTCGGCGACGCGCTTAAGGGACATGGCGGCTTGGTAAGGAGGCCCACGAGGGGGCTTGTTGTCGAGGTCCCAGAGAATCACCACCTTCTTCTGCTTCGGCGCGTACACGCCTTCCTTGTTCTTCACCATGTCGATCTCGGAACCCGACGCGGAGGCTCTGACGCGACATCTGAGGGTGATAATGTGTCGTTTTAAAGGGAAGGATAGAGAGAGAGTGGTGTGGAGGAAGTGAGAGTGGGAGGATTGGAGTTGGTTGGTGCGGCGGAGGAGGGGCGGAGGAATTAGCGGTTGGAGGGTAGCGGTGGTTGCCGCGTTGCAGATTGGGTTCATTTCATTTATCGTTTTTGTCTTCGGAAGACTGTGATGAGCGAAAATCGAGCTCGCTCTTTCAAGATCTTGTTCGGTTTGCTTTTTTCTTGATTTTTGGTATCCGTTGATATTTTCGTACTGTTTTCTGGTTTGAGATCTTTCAGAATTGAGCCCAAGTTTAATCTTCTCTCTATCTGATGAAAGGATGCGGGCTTTGCTTAGGCGTGTTAATGTGGGCCATTTTGGTTTCGGGAAGGCCCGTGAAGGATAAATTAGGCCTGTATACGCTTAATCCTCTCCCGAGTGCACATTTGCTGCTGCGAGGTTCAGGGCACAGTTTTGAGCGGCGCCGTTTGAGTTTGATTTGGTTTGTAATAATGGTTGTTACTTGCCCAATTAGTTTATATTATCCTTGTCTCATTTGTTTAATATTTGGCCGTGTTTTGCGTCTCTTTGTGTGGTATTTTTTTTTTTTGGTTTTTGTGCTTGGGATTTTTGAATTGTGCATATCTTTTGTATCTAAGAAAGAGTTCGTATGATCTCGTTTATTTTACCAATATGATTTTAAAATTTAAATTTTATTATAGTAAAAAGTTTTTAGAAACAGTCGTATTTTTTTTTTATTACAATAAAAGATTCTCACATAAAGTCATATTTCAATTCAAATTAAAAACTCAAATCACTGAACTAAACCGGCTACGTGTCTTTTGATTACTTATACGCAAGACTCCTTATCTTCTTTTGAACGTTTATTTTAAATTTACATGCTGAGCCAGTTGTTTATTAGTGCCATATATTTTATAAAAACTGGGACGGAGGGAATTAAGGATTATGGGGGCTTAAGCCCCCTCTTAACTTTTTATTCTTTTTAAAAATCTATAGATATATTATTTCAAATTACATTACAGTCCCCACAAAAAGAATGAAAACTTGATTTAGCCCCACTCAATTTTTTTTTAAATATACATATTTATTGAAACAAATTACATTTAATTAAAGTTTTACCCTAGTAATTAGTCTCTCCTCGCAAAAATTCCTAATTTTGTCACTGGATAGAAAGTTACCTGAGTATGAATTGCTATTTTTATTCCCTTTTAATGCTATGAAATATATTTAGAGAACGTTTGGTTTATGTATTCAAAATCATGATTCAGAATTATTTTTATTTTACGTGTGTTTTTTGTGAGAAAAAAATACTGTAAAAAATTATGAATTATAATTCAGAATCAAAAATAAATATAAGAAACAAACGTGAAGAAAAAAAACTGATTTGCTTCAAAGATGGTCGACGATGTTTCCATTCCATCATGATTACCGACTTTAAATAGCGAGGGCGCAGACTTTTCCATATTTTGTTACTAAACCAAATGAACAAGAAAAATTTGGATAGGGATACTTCTGTAATTTAGGTTGTGAATGATTTATTGGTAAAACTTATTAAGCGTCCAAGGCGTACCTTATCCATATATTGAAGATGGAAAAAATAAATAAATAAATTTAACGGTATTTGATATTTCCTTGTTTCCACTCAAAAGATCATGATTCTTTCTTAAAATCCCTGCAACGTTTGCCTTCCAATATATCTTGTCTTAATATTCGCCAAACAAAAGGAGCCTACATAGAGTTATACGACACATCATTTCATTTTTTTTTTTTTTCAAAAGGTCAATAATTTAAAATTATGGGAGGATATTTGGCGAACATCTAGTTGCACAAAATCCTTGGGAAATCTTGCAAGAGTTGTGCAGTTATTTTCCTCTTAATAATCGCCTCAAAAGTTGGAATTCTTAAGGTTCTGTTAGGATCCTGGTTGAATCCTATATTATTAAAGTATGGGCTTAACATGTGGGTTTATAATCACTTGGGCACCATCTCCTTACAAGCTAGCTTTTAGAAATGAGTTCTGTCCAAGGGTTATAACAATTGGTATCAGAGCATGTCCCTTCTCAGGCCCACGTTGCGGAAGGCGCGACCTGGGGAGGGGCGACTTGGAAAGGCCAGAGTGGGCCATCCAGAGTGGGCCGCCGTGGACGTCGGTGTCGGAAGCATGGTGGTATGTTAGGATCCTGGTTGAGTCTCACATTGCTAAAGTATGGGCTTAGCATGTGGATTTATAATCCTTGGGTAGAACTCATCCTCAAAAGCTAGCTTGTAGGGAGAGGGTGCCCAAATGGTTATAAACTCACATGCTAAGCTCATACTTTAACAATGTGGGACTCAACCAGGATCCTAACATACCACCACGCTTCCGGCACCGACGTCCATGGCGGCTCACTCTGGATGGCCCACTCTGGCCTTTCCAGGTCGCCCTTTCCGCAACGTGGGCCTGAGGAGGGCATGCTCTGATATCAATTGTTATAACCCTTGGATAGAACTCATCCTAAAAAACTAGCTTGTAGGGAGAGGGTGCCCAAGTAATTATAAACTCACATACTAAGCCCATACTTTAACAATATATGACTCAACCAGGATCCTAACAGGTTCTTTGTCTTCTAGAAAATTCATATGGAGCCTTACACTCGAGAGTCATATCTGCCGACATCAAATTTCTTATTCTTTCTCTTTGTTCTCAGTTTTTTTTTTCCCCCCCTCACATTTTTACACAGTTGATCAGAATATAAACAAAAAGTGTGCGCCCACAATATCCGTCTAATGTGCTTCCACCACCCCCAAAACTACATTAATAAATAAAAAAATAGAATAGAATAAATACTAATTCCATTCTACACAATACAAATTGAGGTCCCCTTCCAAAACAGGTGGCGTTCAATGAACAAATCTTTATTCCCCATGCCACATCGTGGCCTAATTTTATGCAAATTTATTTGCTCTTACTAGTTACCTGCATAAAAAAAAAAAAAAAAAAAAAAAAATTCTCTTTTGTCCCCATACTTGCTCAATTCATTTATTATTTTCTTAATTTTTTGAGATTCAATTGTTATTTTTTTAATTAATAGAATGTGCAAATTTGACGTTTTAGTGACGTGTCATTTGTGCTTGAGCAAAGTCATAGATTATCCGTCCTATTCCCAATAAGAAGAAATAGTATCCAATGATAGCTACCCAGGGCTCTGCCTGCAAGAATAGAGACAAACGAGAATGGATGAGCTCTTACTTATATGGTTTTGCTTGCTGTGTTCTCCATGCTAAAAAGTCTCACCTATTTGCTTGCAGGGCCATAATCCTATTCCTCGGTTGTGCCTTTCTTCTTTTTTTCTTTTGTCTTTTTTTTTTTTTTTTTTTTTTTTTTATATTTTTTAGTTTTTTTTTTTTTTTTTTTTTTTTTGCATAATTTTTACTCCATCTTTTCCAAAAGCACTTTCCTAAGCTTTGTTAATCCCCAGAGAGAGAGAAAGATTAATTTTATAACTAATATGGTCAATCGCTTTCTTTTTTAACATCAATCATCTTATAATTCTATCTCTTTACAACATTTCCATAGCTTGTCTTAAAGATTATCCCCATTCCATACGCCTTAAACTATCAAAGTGGGACTAGACAAAACTTCCTTTGTCCTTTGATCGCCTCCTTTTTTTTTTTTTTTTTTTTTAAAAGGGGAAGGGTTCTCTTAACTTTTATTTTCTCTTTAATAATTTTCTCCTTGATTTATGGCAATTATCTTCAGAATTATAATACACACTGTTTTTTCCTCAACTACAACCGACCCAAAAAAAGCAAGTCAATTATATAATATAATTAAGATGATTTGTAATTATTCTGATGATTGCTTTCTGTTTTAAATAATGGTGGTGAATAACAAGAAAATTGAGCAGACAACTTTGGTGGGTCTCAGGCAGATGCAGCTATGTATATGTCAATTCTATCCAGTTCATATAGACGTACCTGGTACAGTGACTGTCTTTGCCTCTTTGGGTCCCATAAATTAAATTTTTTTGTGTTTCCTTTTTTTTTTTTTAACAAAAAATGAACTCTACTTTTTGTCCATAAGCTTTTCTATTTTAGCAGCTACTCCCACCAATTTCTTGTTTTCGTGGAATTTGGCACCAAGGCAATGAGAGAGAATTCCTCATCAATGAACATAGAAACGACAATAATAACAGAAAGAAAATACAATCATAACTAAGCTCATTACAAGAAAAATAGCAAAAAGAAAATACTAATGCTAAAAGTAATAGTAATAACAATAATAACACAAAGAAACGACACAAATTAAGTGGGGAGAGTAGGTGTCCCACTGATATTGAATCTATCAATTATGTTGCATGGAAAAGCATTAGCTGTTAAAATTGGTGTAATCACTAGAGGAAATATAATTGGCTAAATACTCTTGAACAGGAAAAGAAAGCCCACTAACAAAAAATGCTCTAAAACCAGCATTTATTCTAATCAAGATTAATGCCAGTCACAATCACCATCTTCCACTTCCATATCCATTGATTCTTCTCCACTCCCTTCTTGGCTTGACCATACACAACCGCTAGTAGAGATGTCCCTTTGTGGTACTTCAGCCTTTTGCCATGGCCAGAATTTGTCACAAATGAGACAAATCTTTTATGCGGATTCTGCTTCTTTCAAATTTAAGATAACGGGAACAAAATGCTTTTTTCTTTTTTTCTTTTTTTTTCATTAAAAGAGCTTTTAGGATGTGATGTGATATTTGGAAGATGATATCTCCAAAAAAAATCTTCTCACAACCTCCAATTTTATTTATTTATTTATTCTTTTTGCCAAGTATTTGATATCGGTGAGTCTAGATTCCAATTGTAAATTTCAACTTATAATCTTTATTACGCTTTTATTTATTTTACATATTAAAATTTTTAATTTAAATTAAGATGTGATATTTAAAAAAAAAATTAATTATAATAAAAAAATTAAATATAATATTTTTTTAAAAATTTTAACCGTAAAAATTTAAAATTTAAAATTTAATTGGATGAAATAAACAACACTTATATTTATACCTTTTCTTATTGTATCGTCGATGAACTTTTTCTTCATAGAATGATTTGGTCTACAGTGGCATAGATGTAGCTAGAAAAGGAAAACAAAAAACAAAACAAAAAATCATAATAACTGTCAGTTGACAAATAACTACCATCACGTATTACTATGAATTCATGTTTCGCTGCGCTTTTATGACTTTTTCGAATTTAGGAACTTTCATTTTGTTTTTCTTACAATTCGAGTTTATTGTCTCCCGTTTTAAAATCCAAGGGTCCGACAAAAAGAACAAGAGAATGACATGAAAGTCCTCGATGGTATTTTGACATTTTGTGGCGTTCTAGAAGTACTTATGAGTAACACGGGAAACAAAAATTGAAATTTCCATAAAGCAAATCAAATGTGGAATAACAACTGTTTTAGAATGAAATGCTGAATTTTAAATTAAATTTTATATGACACACATTTTAAATAAGAGTATTAAATAATTAAGGATAAATCAATTTTAACTGTCACGTTAATAAATAATTCTCTTAGGAGTCGACTGTTAAAAAAAAGTGTAAAACATATGAAGGAGGTCGGCTGCTCTAAAAGGATACAAAGAACAACATGAAGCTGACCGTATCCGCAATTATAGACGAAGAACTGTTAAAAAAAAGTGTAAAACATATGAAGGAGGTCGGCTGCTCTAAAAGGATACAAAGAACAACATGAAGCTGATCGTATCCGCAATTGTAGACGAAGAAGCTTCTGAAAGCATTTACAAAGTTGACTATGTAAGAGATGAGATTTTTGAGACTTGCACCAAAATTTACTATTTGTAAACTAAATATATGAAATTTAAATAAAGAACTCATCTTAAATGATTGTAATCTATATTTTTTGAGAAACTGCCTCAAAAGATAAGAAAAATAACCCAAATTCAAATAGAAAAAGTTTATGGGTAGTGACCTAAGCTATAAATAAGAGATTATGATTTAGAAAATCGCTAAGTCTGATTTTGAGCATTAATGAGTGTAATTTTTCTAAAGATAATGAAATTTCTCTCCACCCCGCAGTGGACGTAGCTCTCGAATTGAAGGTGAACCACTATAAATTTTATGTGTTCTTATTTAAATTCCAATTATAATTATATTTTATATTATTTAATTCGTACAAATCATTTAAAAATTTATTATTGTTCTGTTGGTGAATTCACCATTAACAATAACATTCTTAAAAACTGTTATTGACTTGACTGTAGAAGCCATCTAAAACAAACAAAATTTGGACCAACATAAAAAAATAGTAAAACACATAATATTATTTCCTAAAGAAGCATATGACACAAATATTACATCAAAAAAATAAATGCATCTCTCTCTCTCCCTCTCTCTGAAATCAACCACCACGTTTTCTAACGACGAAAGAAGTCGGTCCAAATTAATAAAATTGGAAAGAGTAAAAAGTCTGTATTATTTATCTTTCAAAAAAACAAAAAAATAAAAGGGTGCCATCTAAGAGCAGGAGTTATGCCTGTTCTGTATTCGTTTCCAACATTCTTTCCCACTTACTCCTGCCTTTCTTGAATTAGTCTTAGTCCACGCTTCCTTTTCCCTTCTCCTCTTAACAAATTTCCCCATAAAATTAAAAACCTCAAAAATCTTCTCCTCTTTACTTTTCTTCAGACAAAAATAATAATAATAATAATAATAATAACTAATCCACAGAGTAGACGAAGAAGAAGAAGAGATGGTCGAAACGATACATGTGATTTTGGCCATAGGCTGCTTTGGAATCTTTTCAATCATCTTCATCTTGTTACTATGGAGATTTTATTTCCATAAACCTGATAAGGAAGTTATGGAGCCAACAAGAAGTAATAACAGCAGAACCGAGAGACTACAATCCGGGATCACCAAGCTTCACCAAGAAGGCGTTTTTCGTCACCAGCTCCAAATCGATTTCGACACCAAACAGAAGGGAAACTACTACATGTTCCGACGTGGGGTTTCCGGTAAGCCTCTCTTCAGCTGGGCTGACCACCCGTCTCTGATCACCGACGCCGTCGAGAACGGCTGGTCGCGCTTCGCCTTCACGGGCTACATGTCGTCGTCGTCGACCGCGTCAACGAGATCCTCGGCAAGATTGTTGGGTTTGTGCGCTGTTGGCGGCGATGTTCGGAGAGAATCTGAGCCGGAAACGAGCTGGGAAATATGCCAGGAATCGGCGGATTTCATGCAGAAGATAAGGCTGAATCCGGGGCTGAGAAAAGCCTTGAATTTTGGAAGTCAATCCGCGGCTGCTACGTCCGTGATCAGGACGGCTCTGCCTTTGCCTGGCCCGCCTTTGGGGAATTCCTCCTTCCCACAAGAGGCCTATTTCGAGATCACCGTCTTGTATTGTCGCGGCGGTGGTAGCGGCAGAGGAGAAGAACATGATTCTATTGGTAATAATAAGGTCAGGGAAGGGGAGAAAACGAAGCTCATACAAGAGAATTCTAATGCGAGAGCGAATTCGGAGTCTTTGGTCCATTTTAATGGCCGTAGTAATAGAGTTAACAAGATTGAGGACTTGAAGATTGGTGGTAAATTAGATGACGGGAAAGCTCATGATCATGAGGGAGTAATGTTATCGGTTGGACTCACCGCCGGTGGCTCTCTTCCTTTGAAGCTGCCCGGAAGTTATCTCGGCAGCATTGGATTCAACTCCGACGGTTCGGTCTTTGTTGACGGTAATTCATGAGTTTCTTTTATTTTTCTTTTTATAGCATTCAATTTTCGGTGACAGTGAACCAAGGGAAAAGTGGTGAAAACTTGTGAAAGTTTGAAGAAAAAGGAAAAGTGGCAAGGTTATGTTTTTTATTTCTTATTTTACAGTGAGTATAATCTTTGGCTTAAAAGATCTCCAACACCATGAAGGTGTTTATAAAGAGCAAGGTCCACCAACGTTTGACTTAAAGTCAGACATGAATGCTAAATTACTTCTTTTTGAAAATTTTCTCAAAGCATGAATGAAGTGAATTAATGGACCCATTTAGTTGTACCATCCTCATTTCTATCTCGAAAACTTTTGGAGCTATTGACCAAATAATTCGTTACCATAATATACTCCATATCTAGACTAATGGTGTATTTTCTGTCCTCTTTTTTTTTTTTTTTTTCAGGAATCAAACTCGTCTTTGCATCCGAAAAGGCGGAATGGGGAAGAACAGACAAGGTGATCGGTTGCGGGTTCGATCCAAAGCAGAAGAAAGTATTCTTCACTGTAGACTCGGAAGTAATACATGTAGTCCATTGCAAATCAGAGGAATTTGGGACACCCCTTTATCCAACTCTGGCTGCAAACGACGACGTTTCGGTTCTTGTAAATTTCGGACAAAGTATGTTCAAATATCCGCCGGCGAATGCCCAAAGAACCCCAAATCCTTGCTTTGTTGGTCCCGTGGCGAATTCGCCCGCTCTAGGATATGAAGACAGCAAAGAGCTTTTCTCAATGGGAAGAATAGATTCTCAGTGGCTTAACAGATGTACAACAAGAGGAAACCAGAATCAGGGGAATCCAAACAGGGCATTGGACTTTGACGAAGAGTCTGAAGCAGATTTGTTTGAGATTGTGTTGGACAGTTGCGGAAGATCCCCAAACGTAGTGTCTTAGAAAACACATCATCAACAAAATTCAATGCCGAGGGTAAAACTACTGTACTACTTACTCTTGCATTTGTATTTGTTGTGATTTTTCTTTTATTTTTTTCCTTCCTCCTTTGCCCTTTTTGATTGGTTTACTTCACTCATCACCGAAATATAGGAAATAGAAACAGGTTCATACACACTGCGGAAAATTTTTATTTCGTTCACCATTTGATTTTTCTTCTTTTGGCATGCAATGTATTTTCTTGTACATAAACAGCGCTAATGTCCATTCAAGGTGTAATACTATGCGGTTCTTATGTAATGAAATTGAAGGTGACATGGTATAGAGATGAAGAAGACATTTTTTGTTTTCCTATTTTTTTTTTTTTTTAATAGTGCTTTAATTAAAACTTGAAATTTACTCTATTAAAACCACGTCCAGCATAACTGGATCTGGCGTGCATTTTTGCAAACCTAGCATTAATCAACCTGTGGTAGCTTAAAAGCATGCTTATCATTGCGTACGGTTCAATTTGCTTCAAGAGTTTCTTCATAAAAATGCAAAACAAAAGTACAAATTCAGGGATTATGGGCCTGAGGTTATAATGTAATGACAAGTTAAAAAGGGAAACAGAATAAAGGAAGAGAATTAAGAACACCAAATTTTGCTGTCAAATCTTTGTTAAGGTGGGCCAAAGGTGAAGGCAAAAATCATCGTGCAAGTTTGCAGGAGAGGAATGTTTGATGCGCTGCATGTTCTGGCAGTACAAGGTTGACCGTATATATACGCCTTTAAAAGGGAAGGATGTGGTGATCATATTGTACTGGTGCATGAATCAATACCAACTCTCATGTGACCAATGCAAGAAAAATAATAAAATAAAACAAAAAACGCACATATGCATAAAGTCTAAAGAAGAAGAATATCAACAACCTACTTATATTTTTCAAAAAAAAAAAAAATCCAATCCCCCCATTGTGACTCATATCTCATACTCAACTGGTAAATTTGGCATTTCAGGTAAAGAAGATTAATAAATTAATTAACACGTTATTCTGTAAAGAAGAGAGTAATTGAGCCTTGCTGCATTAGTGTTCTGCTTGGACAGACGGAACATTTTCCTCGTTTTCCATTTGAACCAATTAAAATTGGTTTCCATGTGTACAAAATATAATTTATCGCGTATCAGTTAGTTTTTTTTTAATATCCTTTATTAATTAAATCGATCATGAAATATTCATGACCATAAATAAAGATTCAGTGAAATGCATATTTACTAAGGATGTATTTCTGACTGCACTCCCAAGAAGTCGTTGAACTAAGAGTGCGTTTAGAAGCGCTTCTTAAAGCCCAAAATTACTTCTGTAGTCATCAGAAATTGATAATGGTGTTTAGTAAAAACCATAAAAAGTGATTTTTAAAGTATTTTTGAAAAATTTACAGCTAAAATCAGAAACAACTCAAAAACAACTTTAGTTTTTAAATTATGCGAGAATCAGTATAGTACAATTAATGATTATCAATAAAATTATATTAAATAATTCATTATTAATTACTAATTATATTAATAGATATACTTAATAACTAATAAATAGATAGTAATTACTTAATTATTAATTAAATATTAATTTATTACTATTAAGTTTGTCAATAATAATTATTTATTTAGTTAAAGATTAATTGTCAAAAATTAATTATATAACATATTAACAATAAAACAAGTAATAATAAGTTATTAAATAAATAATTAATATCTCAATCATATATTATGTTGATTATAATCTATTAATTAGTAAATTAATTTATAATTATCAATAGTTTAATTACTAATGTACTCATTAATAATAATTTATCCATTATTATTATCTTATTAATATATTCATTTTTATTTGTTAAATAATTATCAATTATTAATTACTTTATATATTAATTTAAGATTATTAATTATGGTCATCTTAACTACTCACATCAATTCATCATCACAATTTACCAAACGATATTACACTGCTTTTAGAATCAACAACACTTGTATAATTACAATTTTACCAAACACTCAAATATTTTTTGTAACTATTTTTTCTTTCAGCACATCTAAAAATAATTTTTTCAAAATCTACAACACTACCAAACTGCCTCTAAGCCTGCAAAATAGAAAAAGCCCAAAATCTCATGTGATTTCCATCTGGGAAAATTATAATTTACATTGTTAGGAACCTAATATTTAGAAGTCTTTTTCAATAGTCTTAAGGATAATATAAATAGGGGGTTTAGTTGCTAGGGAGAGGGGCATGAGATTTGTAGAGAATTCTGGTGTTTTCGGCTGTTAGCTTGGGAGGTTGTGGGGTTCCTCGAAAATCCCTCTTTATCTTTATTTTCTTGTATTTTTCCATTCTTGCCGATTGGGAGCTCCGCTTGAGCTCACAGATGTATTAAACTGATTAATATTCAATAAAGAAACTATTAGTCGGATCCTTATTGAATTCTTGCTAATTTATCACTTCTTTTGAGTCCATGATCCTAACAATGGTATCAGAGCATCTACGAACCATGGAGCTCTTTGAGTTGAAAGAGAAACTTAGGGCTGCTCTAAGAGCTAATCTCAAGGTTTCTAGAGGTGAGCCCGTGAGTTCAGAACCTAAGGTTTATCTATTTGAGTTGAGAGAAAAACTTAGGGCTTCGTTGTGTGGAGGTGAGCCAGCGCGACAGGATCTAGAACATCAAAGTCAACGAACGTCGCCGGAGAAAGTGCGACGAGATCCATGATCGCGCAAGGCTGACGAAGACTTGAGCGGTTCTTCACGATCTAGTAACAGATCGGCCAGAACTGTGGCAAACAGCAACAGATCAGCGACCAAAATTGAGAACGCCGACACGATTGACCCTGAAATTCAAAGATCCAGTAAGATTGGGGCTAGATCTGAGCCGGATGGGGCGAATTCCGACGCAGCTGAGGCTAGACTCGAAGAATTTGCATTGTATTGGGTCTCAACGTTCGGTCGCGGTTGGGGCTGATTCCGGCCCGGTTTGGACCATGCCTCGCGATTTCCGGTGTGAAATGGGTTGGTTCCGGTGCTACGGAGACAGATTCTAGCGCGACGGAGGCTGGGCTCGACGATTTGGCTACTGTTTAGATAGGGCCTCACAATTTCGGCATGAAAGGGGTTGATTTCGGTGCTGGGGAGACAGATTCCGGCGCGACGGAGGCTGGGCTCGACGATTTGGCTACTGTTTGGATAGGGCCTCACGATTCCAGCGTGAAAGGGGTTGATTTCGGTGCTACGGAGACAGATTCTAGCGCGACGGAGGCTGGGCTCGACGATTTGGCTGCTGTTTGTATAGGGCTCACGATCCTGGCGTGAAAGGGGTTGATTCCGGTGATGGGGAGGCAGCTTCTGGCGGGATTGTAGTGGAGTCCCGCAATTCCAACTCCATAAAGGCTGATCCCGGTGAGATTGGTGTTGTTTTCGAAACTTCTGGCCAAATTTGGAGCGGGTCTCATGATTCTGACACTGTTGAGGTTGTTTCCATCAAGGTTGGGGTTGATTCCAGCAAAGGTAAGGCATGGTTTTGGAATTCCGGAACTATTAAGGCCACCGTTAGCGATTTGGGGGCTGTGTTCCCAAAAGTGTGGACTGGGCCTCGTAATTCAAGAGTGAACTGGGTCGATTTTGGCATGATTAGGGTTGGACCTTGTAATTACAACAATATTGGGCCTTGTTCTGGTGCAATGGTGGTTGAGCCTCAAAATTCCAACACAGTTATGACTGGGTATCGTAAGTCTGTAGCTGAGTATGAAGCAATTGGTGATAGAGAGGCTGAAAGGATGAAGACCTAGTTAGCTGAGAAGAAAACTTCCTTTTTAATGATGGATTTGTCAAAAGCTTTTATGGTCATTGATAAGCTTGATCAGGGGGCTCCAACTGAATTGGTGGACTTTGTGGCTGCTTTCTAAGATACAATGAAGATGAAGAAGAAAGTAATTGATTGGCTCCAATTTGAAGATGTCTACTCAAATCGAGGAACTAACAAAGCCTTTTGTTCTCAATCATTTAGATGTTATTTTTCAATTTTATTTCTTAATTTTCACCTTGAGGACAAGGTGATTCTTTAGAACGGGGGTAATGTTAGGAACCTAGTATTTAGAAGTATTTTTCAATAGTCTTAAGGATAGTATAAATAGGGGATTTAGTTGCTAGGGAGAGGGGCATGAGATTTGTAGAGAATTCTGGTGTTTTCGGCTGTTAGCTCGGGAGGTTGTGGGGTTCCTCCAAAATCATAACTAGTTCAAATAGCATATCCAAAACCAACAGCATCGCCTATAGCTGTAAGCATGCATTAAAAAAAATAAAAAAATAAAAAAATAAAATAAGAGCTAGTAGTAGTGCAGTACCCTACTTATGATAGATGGTCAAGTCTCAATATAGCCTTAGGCAAGAGATTTCAACTGATAAAATAAGTCAATCACATTGGCATAAACACATATCAGATGATTTGTGGATATTGCTTCGCCTGCTGCCGCACTCTTCTTTTATACTCGACTGGTTCCTGCAAATTAGGCCAAAAACATACTTGAATAAATGCTATTCCTTTCCATGAATCATAAGCAGCGACATAACTTATCATGAGGCATATAAGCAATGACCTGAATGAAGAGCTGATAACCATCAGTTTGTGCTGGATCAGCCGGGTTAGGCTGGTCTAGCAAATCCTGGATGCCGACTAGGATTTGTTTCACAGTAATGGCTGGTCTCCATCCCTGGACAGAGGACAAAAGTGTAATTTCCAAGATGACACTGAACATATTCTGCAGCAATATAATCTCCAAATGAATATTGATTGAGTTGTAGCAGTTGCTTACGCTGTCCTCGCTGAGGATCGAAAGACACACAGTTCCAGAAGGATAGACATTAGGGTGGAAGAAGCCCGGTGGAAATCTGCACTTTGGGGGCTTGCTGGGGTAATCCTCACTGAAGTGAAGCGTAAGTGGAAAATACCCACCCTCCCAATCAGTCTGCAACATTAAGAATGTAAATACACATCAAATAAGGCACTTCAACCATGAAGGACGAAAAGAAAGCAACATTTACATCAATGATATTGACGCAAAAGAGGAATCGGAATCAGTCTGCAATATTCGGTGCTGAAATTCGTCAAGTCGCCAGCTTTCCCTCTTTTGCGATGAAATATACATTACTAGATCTTGCTATCCAATTGCCTATGGGTATAACTATAGGAAATTGGAAGGATTTTTTTAATCCCATGGAATGTGGTATAAAACAATAAAAAAGAAAAAAGAAACGCTATATATTAAAACTTCAAAAGAATGAAACACCTGTTTGACAACATGATAAGGAGCAAATAATATGTGAGCGGGTATTAATTAGCATCAATTCTGACCTTAATATTGTAAACTTACAACCAGTGTCCAACCACGTACGAAAAGAGTAAAGAAAATGCAAATAGCAACTGGGTTCATAAATCGGTCAAAAGGCAATTAGTCCTTGAAAGCAAGTAAACTTTATTGGGTTATTTACAAAAGCAGAACATGATAAAGACCAACGCGCAGAAACTAACAAAGTTCATAAACGACAACAGGTAGAATTTTTTATGTTTGTGTGTTTGTCCACATTAATGCACTCAAATTAAAAGCCCATAATTATCTAAAAGACACTATTCTTCCCTTAAAACATATCTAATCATTTATTTGATTGACCCTACAAAAAAGGTGAAATATTTTGGGAATATCATTGGTCAACCATGGAAACATTCCAAAAAAATGCGAAGATAAAAATGACACAGATATACAAAACTTCAGACAGCCAATCAAGACATTCAAGAAAAAGAGTGGATGTTCCAAAAATAGGAAGGGAATGTGATTCTCTAAGTTTAATATATGCAAATTTCAGACAGTCAATAAAAAAAAAAAGATCGAAACTTTCCTTAAAAAAAAAAAAAGATTGAAACTACAAAAATGCCGCGATTAAAAGAAGAAGAAGAAGAAGAAGAGAACTGACACCAGGCTTGCCGGGGATTATGCATTGCCAGACCATCAAATTGACGGACCCATCAGGAGCGGTCTCAGGCTTGGCGACAAAACCCTAGAAATCAAGAAAGAAGGAAAATAAATAGTAAATTTTGAAGGAAGAAGAAGACGAAAAGAGAGGAAATGGAAATTGCAGAAATAAAGAAAGATTACGAACATGAGGGTGATTCTTACGCCAAGCTTTTCTCTCCTCGGCGAGACGGCCAAGCGCGATACCTCCGGACATTCTTCTTTCGCTTCGATCAAGTTTTTTGCTTCGCAGTTTTTACACTCGGTGGATGAACACTGGTTTTTTGATTTACGGTTTAGTTCGCACTAAAAAGCTCAAAGGACGCGCACGCAACCCGAAACAAGCTCCCACGTCCACATTGCAATGTGCCGACGTAAGAGATAAATTCTCCATTAGTCTTGAGGTGTCAAACGTGCCGGATCATCACGAAATGTCTGACCCCAGGCTCGTTACGGACCTGAGCCGTGCCAAACAAGGCGTTGAACAGTTCAGGGCTGTGCCTTCTCTCAGGCCCAGTACGGGCCCAAACTCTTATCTATAAGGATCAGGATTGGGCCCGGGCCCAAGCCTTTTACGGGCCGGCTCTGACCTTTTTATTTTTTTATAATATTTAATTAAAAAAAGAAAATATATCATATATTTTTAAAAGATGTTATTTTATTGAATTTAGATAATACGAATAAGTACATATAAATGACTGTTTCATTAAAAATCCTACCAAGTAAAACTCATGGGAAGATCAGGACAAAATATTAGCGAAAGAAAAAAAAGTGCAGTATTTTAAGATAATTAAATTACAAAATCTAAGTACTTCCAGAAGATTTTGTTATGTCTAAGTTAGAAAAATATTCTTGAATTGAATCATCTGTATATTATTATTTTCGTCTTCTAGCATCTTCCTAGTCTTTAACGCACATTAGCCCCTCCAAGATATATGTATACATTATGCTTCTCTTCTCATCAAGAATTTGGTTGCTTGCACTAAATGCTTGCTCTGATACTACTGATGACACTAGAGTTGTCAGAATGTCACGGGATATTATGAACAGTGTTGGAAAACGATCGGTCTTGCTCCTCCACCACTATAAGATGACCAATTTGTTGTCATCGATTACAAAATTTGATTCAAAATATTTTACCAGTTTGGTAGACATTTGTGTTGATAACGATCCTAATGTTTTCTCTTTCTTCTTCAAGAAGCTCCACGATATGCCTTTAGGCCCCGAACTGCTTCTTGATGTCGATGTTCCCTATTCTTTTTGACCTATTCCGTATTTTGCTTCATACAAATCAAATAATTTTTCTAACATTTTCCTAACATCAGCAATAGTTAGTTGCATATCAATACCTAAATTTTCTGTCGTAGCAGTCATTAAAGATTCGGTCTCATCTACTCTGCATCTAGGATTTAAAATGGTTGCTAATGCATATAACATAGGACAACCGGACCAATAACTTTTAAATTTAGCTTCCATTAGCTTAACTATAGTTCTAAAAAGTTTAGTATCCTTATAATAAGAAAATATTTTCGAAATATTAAATAGTTGATGCAAAGCTAAATGTGCAGTAGGATAATAAACTCCAGAACGTAATTCAGTAGCATTGTAGAAAACATCTAAAAATTTAAAAAAGTACTCACCAATCTTCCAATTTGTATCGAAAATTACAATTTGATCGTTTTTACTGTTCACATACGTTGTGATGAGCTGTTGATACGGAAGTACAACCTTCAACATTAAGTAGGTGGAGTTCCACCTATGTCTTACATCAGTTGGAAACTTTCTTGGGCGCATCTGGCTATTCCTGCAATATTGTCAAAATTCTTAGAGCCGAGCTCTAGAATTAGATATGAAGGATAAAGATTCTCTAATATTTGTTACATTAGAAGAAATATGTTCAATTCTTGTTTGTACTACTAAATTTATTATGTGACATGCACACCGTTAATGAAAAATTTCACCACCAAACATTGGTTTCAAACTACGTTTAAACATGTTAATTGCAACCGTGTTAGCTGAGACATTATCAAAAGTAATAGTTAAAACTTTATTTTCTATCCCATAAAACCTAAAAATTTCCATTATTGTTTCAAAAATAGCATTTGCATTATAAGGAAATGGACATAAACGAAAACCTATTATTCTCTTTTGTAAAACCCATCATCGTCAACATAATGCGCCGTGACGCATAAATATCCAGTTTTATTGCACACATCCTATAGATCAGAAGTACAAGATATAATAGCATTAAAAGACCTAAAATTATCAACTAGAGATTGTCTCATTGCATGAAACACTTTCATACAATCAGAACGAGTTGTGTTTCTACTTACGCGTTTAAATTACGGGCAGAAGGCCGTCTGAATGAATTCTTCAAACATTGCATCATCTGTAAAAGAAAGAGGTAATTCAGTACTAGTTAAAAATTTAGCTAGTGCCTCACGAGCACGTTTTGCATCGTATGTAAAATTTTACAACCCTTGTGATGTGAGTGATAGTCTTTGTTGGCAGTAGTCCACACTCCCACCTTGGTGCAACGGTAGACATGCTTTACAATGTCTATCCAGATTACTTGTACCCCACCCTTTTTATTAGAAAAGTGTTTTTTACACTATTTACATACTGCACGAATTTATATTTCACCTGTTTTTAGATTTGGTCGAGGCTCCTCTGTGAAATGTCGCCATGCGGGAGCAGTTCGCGGTCTTTTTCACCTGCTACGTTCTCTAACTTCCTCATTGTGCACCGAAGCATTATCAATCAGAGTAGTTTCTGGTTCAGTAGGGGTGGAGTTGTGGGCCAATATTTCATCCTCGTAAAATGACTCATCACCAAGCTCAGAGAGAGCAGTGAAATCAAGAAAATTTGATGCGGACATTTTCTGAAAAAAGAAAACATAAACTAATGTTAATTCGTTCATTTATAAACAATAAACAATATAAATAAACTTAAGTAATACAATGTTATGTAACAAAATTGATAAGTAGAATACCTTTTTCTGAGATTTCTAAAAATTGATTAAACTTTGTAAATGAAAAAGTGAGAAAATGAGTAATCGAGAGAGAAAAGTTTAGAATCAATATCAAATAGACAATATGAGAGATAGAATGAGAGTGAAATGAGAAGTTGAGAGTGAATTGTTGTGTGAGATTTAGGGTGGGATTAAAGGGTTTTTATAGGGATTTTTGGGCACATTTTCAGCTTGTGACCATTGGGCACGTGAAGGGCCCAACGGTCACAAGCCTGACGGGCTAGAGGGCTTTTTGGTGGGCCGTTTCGTTGGCCGAACACATGCCTGGGTCGGGCTGAACAAGGGCCGAATCCGTGCTTAGGCCGAACTGGGCTTGGGCCGGGCCACGGGACTTCAAGGGCTAAGGTCGTGCCTGGGCCTCGAGCTGAGAAGCTACAGCCCAGCCCTAGCCCATCTAACGTGCCGGGCCGGCACGGTCCGTAATAGTACTGTACCGGGTCATGCCGAATTCGACATTGTTACGGGCTGGGTCAGGCCGTCTATGGACGGCCCAGCCTATTTGACAACATTACACATTACAAACTCCTCCAATTCGTCTACAACGTGGGAGATTTTCTGCCTCACATATCGGTAGTTTAAATTTTTTAAACCTTTAGATCTGTGTATTTTTTTTTATTTTTACATGATTTTATGCATATCCAACAGATAGAAAACCTGACCTACCAGTATGTTGGCCAACCGGAGAAGGTCTCCTATAACAATATATTGAAGAGACCATAATAAATAACAGATTTATGAAACTAAATTATCTAAATAACATATCATAGGGACCTTCTCCTGTACGCCAATATACTGATAGGTCAAGTTTTATGTTCATCAGATCTACATAAAATCAAGTAAAAGTTAAAAATTACGCAGATTCAATGGTTAAAAAAAACCTAGCTTACCGGTATGCCAGGCGTACCAAAGAATCTCCCCCATATCTTAAAACCATTTTTTTAAATGTAACTTTGTTTTAATATCTTAAAACTATTTGAAATAGATGACAATTTATCATATAAATGTTTCTATTTATGATTAATAAAAATATTTTCTTTTATGTAAATTTTCTTTTTACGATTGGTGAAGATTTTCCACATAAATAAAGACTTTTTACTAAGTAAATTATTTTTTACCAATCATAAATAAAACATTTAGGTGGTGAACTGTTATTGACTTCAAAAGAATTTAAAATATGTTATTTATGTAATTTAATTTTAAAAAATTATTATTTACTACAATTTCTGTTAATATTCAAATCATTTAATAAAATACTTTAACCGGTTACTAATACTAATCTAATCGTTTTCTCGTTTTTTTTAATCTAGCTGTTTAAAATAGTTTTTTTTACTAGTATAGAATTTATGAGAAAAGGTATGAAAAATGCTAGGCATACTAACTATAATCCTAACTTTTTGTATTAATTTTGAATTTCATTCTTTATTGGTACTTGTTTAGGAAACTATGACATCAATTAAAAAATAAAAGATTGCATTTGTCCATAAATAGAAGAACACTCAATGTTAAAAAAAAAAAAATTTAAATTAAAATTGGTTTTTCTTGTATTACTCTTCCTTAAAGACAAAGAATATAGCGTTTAAGCATAATTATATGGGTTATTTATTTATTTTTAACAAAAATTTTAATAGAAAAACTAGTCACACTTAATCTCGATTTTTATAATAATTCTGATAAAGAGGGTTAAATGGTTCTAATTTAAAATTTACTACACAAATGGAGAGTTTTTAAAGTCTGATGACAAAGTTTGAATGAAAGCGATCCTTTCTTTAATGTAACTTTGATTGAAGAAACCTGTAGGGTGTATGTCACGTTCAGAGCTTGCAGTTTTGTCAAATGCAATATGCATTTTCGTTAGTTATCAAAAAAACAAAAAAAAAAAAAGCATTATCGCTAGTATTCTTAACATTTCGAAAATTCTTGACAAAGTTTCTCCCAAAAACAAAAAAAACAAAAACAAAAGAGAAGATAAACATGCTACATAATAATTTCAAGTGAAAATAAAAATAATTTTGGGGCGGCGTGGAGCACGACTACACTGCAAAAGAAGTTCCTGGCGATTATTAGTTCAAATAAATTAATAAAAATGACCTAACAGCAAGTTACACCCACCCCAAACCCCTAAGATATTAGCATTCCAGACTTTTGGTCTTCTAAAAAATCAAATTCATGCTAACCTTGCTCCTTCGTCAAAAAGCAACACAAAAAGAAATTAACACAGAAGAAGTTACATAGATTACCAACAGTCACAAGCCCCCCTTTCTTAACGTGACCACATTACAAAATTGTTTAACCTATGAAGGCCTCTCTGTGAAGAGACTTCATGCTGTTGGGGCAAACCAGATCACATGCAAATGCATCAGACAGGCAGAGGGAGGAAGAGAGATCCTGGTTGGCAGGTAAAGGCGTTTACCAATCAAGCATAACCCTTAAGTACCAATCCTGCGACCCTTTTCAATGATTCAGCTACCTTAACCAAATCAGATTCCGAATGGCCAGCGGAAACAAACAATCTGATTCCAACAGGCAACCGACATTTATCTAGTGCTGATCTCTTGGAAGTCACCACAAAGACAGAGTCCTCCTCCAATGCCTGAAAACGCAACATCTTGGTATTAAGATCAAGATAAAGCCAAGAGGTAAAATCGGCCTATAAGTGCGAGATGAATGAAACACATGAACCTATTTACTTACGCGGTCAGCAATTTCTTGGAGGAGATGCAGGTCGGTTTTCAATGAACCTGTTGACTTCTCTAATTTGAGGAAAACAATAGGTGATTCTGGATTGCTTGCTATTGACAGTCCCGGTACCCCGGACAAACCTGTATTTTGCAATATATCTAACTCAGTAGAGTTCAAGTCGGCTTCAGAAAGAACAAAAGAAAAATAAAGTTGCTTCATCTGGCTCATTGAAAATGGCTAAAATCAGCCATCGGCTCCTTCAATCATGTAGACCAACACTAAAGGGAAAATATTCCGAGGAAGGACCTATATAGCAAATTTCTCAATCACCAGCCACAAAATGTCACTGGGGCTCTAGCAGAGCCCAAAGCAGTTTTGCTTCCATGGTACCTCAATTACATCATAACAAAAACAGAAACACTGAAAACATATGAGAACAAAGCTCTATGGACGATTGGTAATGAGATGAGAACAAACCTTTCCATAACAGTGCAACGTTTTCCTTCAGCTTTGTTATCAGATCAGGCTTTTCCTCCAAGACATCAATGGCAGTAATGGCAGCAGTTGCAAGGTATGGGGGCAATGACGCAGAAAAGACGTACCCGGAGCTACTCAATCTCTGCCAAGGGTAAGCTTAGACCAAGACATTAGCATCTTGAAATTGGTCCATTTATTGTGTGTGCGTGCATGATTATTTACATAATGAGAATATTAAGTTAGAAGTTTCCTTACTTAAAATTTTCAACCACTGAACATAACAGATCAATCAAGTCCTGCGCATAAATTAGTGCCACCATACCTGGTGATCAATCACTCTAGCACTCCCAGTGCAGAACCCTCCCTCTGTGGCCAAAGCGTGACCCATTGCAGCAGTAATAATGTCTATCTTGTCAACCTGCAACACCATTTCACAATACATCACAAAAAACTCTGAATCACGGGTTGTTTGGTTGGGGGATTCGTACCCCAATTCGAATCATGGTTCATGATTCGCTACAGTATTTTCTCTCACAAAAAATACACGTAAATCGAAAATGGTTCTAATCTCATGATTCTAATCTATGAACCAAACGTCTCCGAGGGAATAATAAAACTAAAAAGGAAAGTTAAATGAAAAATACCGGAACTCCAAAGTATTCAGTTAAACCTCTTCCAGTTTTCCCCAGCACACCAAACGAGTTGCTCTCATCCAATAAAACGCGAAATCGGTATTTCTCCTTCAATCTAATAATCTCATGTAAGGGGGCAACTTGACCAGAATTCTGCATGTGCGAAATCAAAGTGTCAATATCTCCCATAAAGGTGTTTGACAAATAGGTAAAAGCACTTCTAGCAAAAATAAATATATAAATCATAAAATATAGGTGCACAAAAACAAACATAAAGATGCCTGTGCGACCAATGTGTTTTAAACTTCTGTAAAGTTTTCGTTTGTTAATGAAATTTTCTTAGTTTCCTATCCAAAAAAAAAATTCACCGAGTTTGACCTTTTAATATACTCAACAAGGCAACAAAAAAGTTGAAAAATGCAAGGTGCAACATATGGTAGATACCTGGTAGACAGCTTCAACCACAATATAACGCCGCAATTTTTTAGCACGTTGATTCTTGGCGGTAAATTTCTCCAAAGTATTCCTTAAAGATTCCATATCGTTGTGTTTGAAGTACACAATTGTGCTTCTAGAAAGATACAAGCCATTTTGAATTCCCCAGTGGACACCCTCATCCCTGGATAAGGAAAGAAAGAAATGTTTTTATATATGAGATCAATACTTACAAACACTTTATATTAGCAGAAAAGGTTCCTAATCTCTGCTAAGATCCATAAGCTAGAGAGTTAAAATATGTGTGGGCACATGCATGCTTCCGTGGGTGAATAGTGTTCAAACGAAAAACCAAAAACTAACTAAACATAGGAACATAACGAACATCTCCAAGCTAAACAAGGTGTATAACAGTCACAATAAAGATGATTAAGAATACTCACACAACAATTACATCTCCCTTTTTCGCAAAAGCTGGAATTGCACTGAACATGGTGGAAAGTCCATAAGAATAGAGAATTGAATCAGGAGTTCCCAAAAACTTTGCTATTCTTGCCTCACAATCAAGGTGGACATCTAATTCACAAGATTGAAGGATAGAAGATTAAGAGGAACGTAAAAGCTAGAAGGAGATAGAGAAAATATCTATGGTATTCATTTGTTAAGTACTCTCGTACCAATAGTTCCATAGAACCCACGAGGACCACAGGAACCAACACCATATTTTTCCAGTGCAGAGGTGCATGAATCCTGAGATCAATATTGCTATAAGTGTTCTATTCAAGCCACACCCTTATTCATAAACACAAAAGAAAAATATTACATGGAAACAGACTTACAAGTAACTTTTTGTGTCCTATTAGTCCAAGATAATTTGCTGAAGCAAAGTTAACGACTTCTTTGCCATTGATTATTGTGTGTGGTCCGGCAGCACTGAATAAAATGCAAGTCGTGAGAAGAGTCCATGGAAACAGTTAGCAATATTAAAAGTTACTCATAAAAACTATTTAAAAATTAACAGAATCCTACTACTTATGCTTTGTTTATAATAAACATGGAAGAAAACCCAAGAATTTTATCTTCAAGAGAAACATTGTAATGGCAACTATGAAAGTAAGATAAAATCAGCAAAGGAACACCCAGTTTTCATTTTTCTTGTTCTGGTTGTAGGGTGGAAGAGAGAACATGTAAGGAACAATACAAGTGCAAAATGTAGATCACGAGAAGAAACAAAATTTGAAAAGAGCCGACTTTATGAAGAGATAAAACTAATTCCACCTTTCCAAGACTGGGGGTTCGTACTGCATCTCTTCTGTGATGGGAGGAATAAGAGGTTCTGGAACCCATTCCTCACACAGTTCATCTATTTCCTAGACAAATATCCGCTGAAATGTTAGATGAGACAACAAGGTATCATCATATAATATACAAGCATATCAGATCTTAATAATCTGTACAATAAAAATTTAAAAAGCTCACAGAAATGCCCAATTATAGCTACAAATCCATAAGAAAAAGACCTAAAATCCCAAACTGTCATAGTACTCTTCTGCTGCTGTCAGAACAGAGAAAAGAGGCAGCAGAGGATACTAACTCCTATCAATCAGAAGGTTGGCATTAGAAGCATCGACAAACCTTCTTTGTCAAAGGCCGTTTAGGAGGTTTGTAGCTCTTCTGAGAAAGTAGGAAAAGGATAACCACCAGAAGAAGAACTTCTACAAACAAATGGCCTTCCAAAAAGAAAAACAAAAGTAGATCAGAATAAGCATCAACTGCAATAAACAAACATACGGCCAGTTATTAGGATTTGAGAGGCTACCGCCAATGTGCACTCCAAAAACAACCGCTCGAGCAGACGGGACATCTAGAGCTAATGTCACCCATTCTAATGTACTGTTCACCATGTGCAATACAGTTGATGCCATCTTTTTCTATACCCCAACTCTGTTGCAAAGAAGCTTCAAGTATTACTCATACAAATAAGGATACTTGTGTCTTCTAGCACATCTTTTATAATTGTTGGCCTACACTATAGAGCTCAGAGACCCCTGGATCCTGCTTGTCAATGCATAGTGTTAACATGTTTGCAACAGGTATAAAGAGCAATTAGAACAGGATACTAGAGATGAAAGCTAATGAATTTTTTAAAGTTGCAAAACAAGAAGACACTCTAAATGGAAAATATAAATAAATAAATAAAACTATTTCTCTTCTCCCATTAGCCTTGAACAGTATTAAAGTATAAAACTATTGTTAGCCCACCTCCTAACAGCTTAAGCTTTTGGGATGGAGAGGGAGGTACTAAGTTCAAATCCCTATAATTGCACTCTTTATCCCCATTTAAATTGTCATCATGTGTTGGGTCTTTAATATATCTTAGACATAAATATTCACTTGTTGGGCTTTCCAATTAATTTACCCACACGATTGCCCATTATTCACCCCACACGTGAGGGGGAGTGTTAAAGTATAAAACTATTGTTCGCCCACCTCCTAACGGCTTAAGCTTTTGGGATGAATTGGTAAACTAACAAACAGAAAATAGGGAACCGAAAAAACTTCACCAGAGATGATGAAACAGAGAACAAGTTCAAATATGAAACAGGGCAAAAGGTTGCCCCACGTCTTCGTTCTTACAAGTCCAGCTTAATTGGGGTCGGGCAATCAGGCGTTTCAAGGCGCCTAAACATCTAAAAAATAGAGCTTTTTTTTTTCCCCTTCCTTTTTAGTGGTACAGCTGAAAAAGTATTGAACCATTAGATTTGTGGGGTAAACCCTTACTATAAATAAGTCAAGATACCTAGCTCAATCCATCTTCAAGTATGCATCTTAAAAGCCAAATCAGCTAAAATCTTTGTCAAATCAAAACTTCAAAACAAAAGATTCTTTCTAAATTCTAATCAGCAAGATTGATAAATATGCTAAAAAAAGAGGGAGAAACAAAAAAAAGCAAGCCTATCGTGTATATTATGCCAAACCAATATTTTTGCCAAAAATGTAATCTTTCGGTTCAAAAGATATAGAATTCACTGGGGTGTGCTGAAACAACCTCTTAGGGGGCGTTTGGTACGTAGTAATCAGTATGAATCATATTCCTGGGAAAGTGATTGGGGGTAATATGATTCCTATGAATAATACATTACTGTGTTTGGTTTCATACAAGAATCTTTCTCAAATTCTCAGGAATATTACATTACTGTGTTTGGTTGTGCATGGGAATGTTGTGAATTAAAAAAAAACATATTTTTTTTAAATGAATTACAATTAGCACTAATATTTTAAAAGCTATAAAATATTTTTTAAATATTTAGCTCATAACATTAGCACTAATATTTTAAAAAGTATAAAATACAACACAATAAGTAGTCCATAAAATTATCAAATAATATGGGTCTCAAAATGTTAACTAAAATCCTCTATACTCAAAAGTTCTTACAAAAGTTCTAAATATGAGAACATATACTTGAATAAGGTTCCAAACTTGAAATTAGAAGTTGTAAATCTAGGACCATGTATAAAAGTTCCAAAGATGCCATCAAAAGATCTAAATATTGGACCATATACTCAAGTTTGTAAATATAGCACCAAAAGCTTCAACCTAACTCATTCTAAAAGAGATAGAAGAAAATTTAACTTAAATTCATCATCCAACGTGAAGAAATAGTTGGTGTAGTCATGGTTTTAGACAAGAAGTTTTCCGACTCGTACTCGTTGTGCATTTGTTAGTCTTTCTACCTTCTTTATTTCATCAAATACCTACATCCTCCTTGCAGCACTATCAGCCTCATATTGAAAACAATTAGCAAGCCTACCAATATTCTCACCAGCCATAGCATACATATCAAAAAACTTCTATACTGTCTCAATTAAAGTATCAACCAATACATCTCCACTTTGAGATCTCTTTCTCTTTTTCCTTCCTGATGCTAATGGTGTTGAAGTTGTGTCAACAGCTAGATTAATATCCTTAACATATATATATATATATATATGTGTGTTTACATATATGTAACATCTAGAATATCCATGTAGCATTAAAAGTAGTACTTTTATTTTAATTGATGCAATCGATGGGGAGAAATAGCAAGGGACAAAAAAGGATGAAAAAATCGTGGCCGTTCTGGTTCAAACCCAGATGCAGTTTAACGAGGAGTGGAGTGAGTATTGTGGGTTTTGAAATTTTAACCCAAAATAATCAGCACCAAATACGATCTTCTATAAAAAAAAACAAAAACCCATAAATGTTTGACGATCCAGAAAAAGTAAAGCTTCGATTTCAGAATCAATGAATATCAAATTAATGAAATATAGGAAAAGAAGCTAAAACAGATCTGCGAAAGCCAACATAAATAACAAAAGAAATACTAAATTCAGAACTCACAGGATTATTAGCTTCTGATGAGAGGTAATCAGATCTTGATTTTGATTTTGGGTGAGAGAGAGAGAGACCTTGTTTAGGGTGAGAATTTCAAAGGTTTGTGTGGAAGAAGCAGCTTGGAGATGCCTTGGATTAGGAGAATACGAGGAGTGGAGTGAGTATTGTGGGTTTTGGAGAATAAATTAATAATAACGAAACAGAGGAATCGCAAACATAAGGTTCATTCCTCAGATTACAGAACCAAACTAGACGACTTGGGTGGTGCTTTTTGGTTGATGCAAGTTGTGTCTCAGGCGGCGGATGCAAAGAAGGATGGAGCTTTGTTGAGAAAATACAGGGTTCAACTTATGTTTTAGTCGTGGAGGTAAAGAGAAATAGCAAGGGACAAAAAAGGAGAACATAGCATGGAAAAAATCGGAAAGTTCAGACCAAAAATTTTTCACAGAAAAAGGAGAAAAAAAGGAATCATACTCTGGCGGTGGCGGCAGAGGAAATTCCGGCAACGGCGTGGTGGATCGGAAGGCGGCGGCGGCGTCCTCGACGGAAGCGGTGCTGGGTCTGGACGAGAGAGAGAGATGGGTGAGATGGGTGGGTGAGAGAAATGATAGGGCAAATTGTTTCCCGCAAATAAAATCCAACGAAGAAGACGAAAGAGAAAATAACCAATACAACAATATATATGCACGAGTCGAAAAAGGATCCAATCGCGTCAATTTCCAGATCTATCTATAATCCTAGCGATGCACAACATCGAAGAGAAACCTCCGGATTTAAGCAATCGAGATCGAGAAACAAACTGCTCGTTCCATTAAATGCAGATATGAAATTGAGATATAGAGAGAAAGTGGGAGATTAGTCCGGTCGGAGGATTCGTTCTATCCGAATTGTAATTTATAGTTTGTTATAGTATTTTTTTTAAAAAATATATATATATATATATTAAAAATAATTCTAATCTAACGGGCTCTAAGATTGAGAACGGTGAAAGTACCTGGAGGTGGTGATTGGATTGGGAATTGTGCGCGTAAGGAAGAAGATGAATGTTGTGGAATGTGGATTCTTCGTCTTCGTCGTCTTCTTTATTCACTCCGTCTCAGATTCAGATAAAACGAGGGAAAGGGTCAACCAAATCCCAATCAAATCCGAGATTTTTATATTCCTCGTTGCAAAATAAAATATATATATAAAAAATTAAATGAAATGCAATGCAATGGACATCTTTGATAAGGTTTTTAGGGTGGTTTTGTTTCCGGTATAAAAAAAATATTATTTTTATAATAATTTTAGAATTAATTTTAAAATTATGTTAGTAAAAAAGAGAAAATAACTTTTAACTGTTTTTTAATTTTTTCATAAAAATTATTCTTATTATTTTTTATTTTTATTTTTAAGACATTTGATAAATAAACACGATTTGTAGATTATTTTCATTTTCATGCCTCAAAAAACATGTAAAAATATTTTTAAAAATAATTAAAAATTAATTTTAAACACACCCAATATTTTTTTTTTAAAAGATAAATGACTAAATGTCTTTTTTTTTGTAAAACAAATAAAAACATTTGATAAAAAGGAATATTGGAAGTAGGATTTTTATTTTCAAAAACGAAAGTAGGATTTTTAACTTTCTCAAAAAAAAAAATTCAGAACAAAACGAAAAAAAAATCATCTCAAAACAAAATTTTTTTTACAAAGGTTTAATTTCTTTTTTTTTAATAATTTATCATTCTCTTAAGCATTTGATTTAGTAGAAAAATATTATATAAACATGTTTTGAGAAAATAAAAAAGAAGTTAATGGGGAAAACGGCATCTGATAAAAAAGAATATTGGAAGTAGGATTTTTATTTTCAAAAACGAAAGTAGGATTTTTAACTTTCTCAAAAAAAAAAAATTCAGAACAAAACGAAAAAAAAATCATCTCAAAACAAAATTTTTTTTACAAAGGTTTAATTTCTTTTTTTTTAATAATTTATCATTCTCTTAAGCATTTGATTTAGTAGAAAAATATTATATAAACATGTTTTGAGAAAATAAAAAAGAAGTTAATGGGGAAAACGGCATCATAAATTATTTAGGAGATGTATATTTATTAAAGATTACATTTAAAAAAAATGAAAGGAGAAATCCCAGACATGAGTCATGATTTTTATCTCTTATTCTTAATTATTAATCTTCTCACTCAAATAATTATATTAGTAAACGAGTATTAATTAAGAATGATATTTAAAAATTTAAACTTATGCATTTTTCATGGTAAATTTTGTAATTTTTTCTAAATAAACTATGGACCCGTTCACTTCGCTGATTCAAGTTTGTAATTTAAGTTGAGATGTAATTTTATGTGAGAGTTTAGTAAAAAAATTAGATGTGACTGTTTCTGATAACTTTTTACTATAGTAAAATTTAAATTCTAAACTCGAATTAATGAAGCGAACGGGATCTATATATGTAAAAGTTTTGACTTTTGGGCACACCACTATGGTACACGTAAGGCCATTTTACGTTATAAATAACGCGTGGAATAAGTGCCATCAGATTAAATTTGATGGTGTTAAATGAAGAGGCCCATATAGAGCCTCTCAGATACAAATTTTCTTCATTTTAAATTGGGCAAAACAATATGTTCGTAAGGGAAAAATAAGTATTTGTAGTTATCTCCAACGCGATTTAAAATGAGAAAGTAGTTTTCCTTTCAAAAAATAAACTAAGAGAGTAGTTTCATATTTGTTAAAAAAAAATAATAGTAATAATAATACTAAAATAAGTATTATAGAAGTTTTCCTTTTTATAGAAGCTATCGTTTCCTATTTGCACTTTGCACTGTCGCACAAGCATGATGCAGTGAAACGACGTATGGATTTCAGTTTTGAATTTTTCTGTCGTTTATCTGAAACGACATGCTAATAGTCATTCAGAAGTTTGCTGCCTTTTGCTAGTAAACGGCACGTCGTCGGGCTTATGAAAGTTCGATGTCGTCCTTTTGTGTAAAAAAACATGTTTATTAGCTTTTTGGGTTGTCATTTAAGAATACAAATGACATGTTGTTTGCCGCCCAAAAGCTGTCATTTGTAGCTAAAGCCTTTTTTTATTCTTCTTCTTGTAAAAGTAAACTCTTATCTTCACACAACTATATCCGCTTATATACACGCGCGATGAGTATACAAAAGCATATATTTAGATGTAAACCTCCCACCCTCCTTTTCTTTCCTTTTCTTTTTTTCTGGAGAGAAACTAGTTAAAAACATGCGTTTTTTTATAAAGGGAAATTTTCATTACCACAATAAATGAATTACAAACTCAAAATAAAGTCGTACATGACCTTAAGTACAATAGAATTTGATTCAAACGATTGAATCCACCAGTCAAACAATAATAGCACAAGGGTAAATACAAACGCCGATACTTAATGGAAAAAATTCCGATCGGCACATAAAAGTCGAACATAATCAAAGCTCGTTAAAAAAGACAAAAACAGTCGATGGATTAAACCAGTCAATCGAGATCAAACCCCAATCCACTAGACATAAGCAACACAGTATAAAGAAACCTCTAACCAGACATCAACACTTTCACTATCGAGAAACACCTCAAACATATGGGACACACAAACCAAGCCGGAAGGTGGAAAAATCACCTCTACTATTACAAAACAACATTAAAAGTATGGTGAAAATAACATCGTCACGTCGTTATTACAAACTAAAACATACCCCAAAACTAAAAGAAAGCCCAAAGACCTGTTGTCACAAGCCTTCGATGACGTTACAGCCGGTGAGATAAACATGAGAGAGGGAAGAAAGCTTTGAGAGGCAAGTGAAGTAGCTAGATGGAGGTCGTTAAAACGCAGTGACGAATCCGCATGTGTGTCGCTGCGCATCTCCAGAGACAACACTACCCTAGCCAAAAGAAGCCCACCATGCCAGAAAATAGCCTCCAAAAGGCCTTAATCACCCAAAGTTTAAAGTGTCAGAAAACGCCTCCCAAACATCTAGTTTTTAACCTCCACCCGAAGCTAGACCCAACCTAACCAAGCCACCCCACGAAACACTACCTGGTCCATAGACAAGCCCTCAACAAGATGAGCTTGGGGACTGATTTTTCAAGGTCGAAAGTGCAACGACGCACCCAGAAATGGTGCCGAAACTTCGGCCAACACCCAAACTTTCTCTCTCTCTCATTCCATTTCTCTTTCTTTCTCTCATTCCATTTCTCTTTCTTCAACGCTTAGCACTTGTGATGGAACAAGTTACTGTGGATTTATTTAAAACAATGGTTATATAAATCGTTCCGAAAAAAAGGATAAAAGAAATAAAGACATAAATGGGAAAAAAAAATCTAAAACAAAAGACAGGAAAAAAAGGACAAAAAAACTTAAGAAAAAAACTTTTGTAAAATGTTTCGCAACTGAAACTGAAATTTATAAGGATTACAGGTAAAAGATGTTTATATAGGGTCATATTTGAGAATAAATTAATTCAATAGAGTAATTAAGAAAAAATAATATTTTAGATAATTATAAAAAAAGTATTTAAATGAGATATATTTGAAAATATATAAAAATGAAAAGTTAAAAAGATGTAATAAGAAAAGATAAGGGAGAAAAAAAGAAGAAAAGGAAAAGAGAAACTACAAAAAAAAAGTTAAAAAAGAAAAGGAAAGGAAAAAAAAGCTAAAAGAGTAAATTAAAAAACAAAGAAAAAAAAGTGGAGCAACAAAACGGCGACAACGAAACGCCCACGTAAAAATAGATTGGCCTTAGTTTTTAGGTATCGATATGAATATATACTAATTATCGATGACTATTGACTTACATGTTCATACATGAAATATTTTGAATCCACTTTTTTTAGAAGATTTTATCCAGTTATTCAAACATTATAAAATATATAAAATTTCATCCCCTATTTTTTTTCTATCAAGGACATAATTCTTGTATAAGGTCTCATTCATTTCGCTGATTCGAATTTAGAATTTGAGTTTTATAACAGTAAAAAGTTCTCAGAAACAGTCACATCTAACTTTTTCACTACAGTAAAAAATTTTCACATAAAATCACATCTCAACTCGAATTAAAAACTCAAATCAGCGAACTAAATGGATCATAAATGCACAAAACTAACAAAATGAGTTTAGATTTTTTAGGAGATATTTAGGTAGCATACCATGAATTTTAAAGTCGGATTAATTTTTATCATGAATATTAAAATTATTATAAAATATATTATAATAACATCATTTAAATTTTGTGTACCACTAAAATACCCACGAACTAAACCTAGGTTTTTTTTTTTCCCCCTTTCTCATTCTCACATCCCAAATCTCAGTCGCCTCTCTCTCGTAATGGAGTTCGCCTCTGCAACTTCTACGTCGTCATGATCTCTACTATATTGGAGATCGCATCTTACTCTCCTATTATTGCCGGAATCGCAAAGGTGGGCAGACGAGCGAACAAAGTTCTCACCGGAACCAACCAGTGTATTCCAAATCGGAGCTCATAGCCTCGATCGAAGCCGTCTTCCCCAGATTTCCGACCACCACCTCCAGCGCCACCCATCCCGGAGAGTCCACCGTCATCGTCGTGAAGCTCTTAAACTGTGCCCAAACAACGCTGAACTAGATCTCCCCTCGGGGTCGTGTGGAGGAGATCGCCAGTGAGATCTCCTCGGCGTGCCGGTGAGATCACCCGACTGAGCATTTTTTCCTTTTTTTTTTATAATTTTGGTCTTGAACATATCTCCCCGTCAGAGATCGTCACCTCCGTCCTTTTGTTGTCGCGGAGGAGATTCGCCTTGCCGGCTTCGTCGATGATTCCGGCTTTACCGGTTGCTTTCCACGGCAAGCAATGTTGTTTTTTTTTTTTTTGGGAGTTTGTAAATCCTGATTTGTGGTATTGGAATTTTTATGAATTTTGTTTGTGAATTTGTGGATTATGGATTTGTTTTGTGATTTTTCAGATTTTTTTCGTGAATTATTATTGTTATTATTTTTTGTGATTTTGGCTGCGCCAGTAGCAGTGGTTTGTAGATACCAACCGGTACAGTAGACGGATATACCAATATCATTGTGGATACTGGCGGTTGTTGGCCGGATACCGATAGGTATTTCAACTAGATACTGGTGTTGTGGCCGGATATCGGTCGATATCTCGGTTAGGTATTCCGACGACTGACTACTGCTACCAATACTAACTGTTGTCCCAGATACTACTACTGCTACCAATACTAACTGTTGTCCCAGATACTACTACTGCTACCAATACTAACTGTTGTCCCGGATACTATCGAGTAAGAGGTTGTTTAGTTAGGAAATTCGTATCCCAATTTAAATTGTGATTTATGATTTATTATAATATTTTTTTTATAAAAAATACACATAAATTAAAAATTATTTTAATCTCATAATTTTAATTTATGAATTAAATTAATTTATGAACTCTTAAATTGGATACTGTTTTTGTGGCTAAAAAATGGAGGGTCTCTCGCTCGTACACTGGAATCGTGCCAGATATGGACTAATAATCTAAAGGTATATTTATGGACTAATAATCTAAAGGTATATTAGTATTTTAAATATACTGTGATAATATAGTTGTGAAATTCTCTCTAATAATTTAGATATGACATATTATAAATATACTAAAAGAGAGTTAGGGTTTACTGTTTATGCAGATACAATTTACTGTTCTTTCTACAGTATAATGACGCTTTTGCCCTCGATTTACTGTTATCTTGTTCTTCTGGTGCAGGGGTAGTTTGGTCTTTTAATGTGTCCCTGATGGGTTTTTCGGTTTTGCCTCGAGATTGCTTTTCACTATTCACACAGGCACAAAACACTGTCATATACATTAACCCCTTCTTTCTGATTTTGCCCTTCTTCTTTCCTTTTTTTCTTGGTTTCGTCCTCTTGCTTTCTCCTCTTCTCCTTCTTATGCCCGTGGGCTTTTGTATCTTTTTATGGGTTTGGGCCTTTTTGTCTTTCCGTTCTCTTCCTTCGTTGGCTTTACTCTATGCTTCTTTGTAGAAGCTTCTGGGTTTTTTTCTCAGATAAGGACCTTGAAGAAATAATGGTAGCTTCTGGGTTTTCTCTCTGCTCTTTGCAGAATCGTAAAGAAGTAGAAGCTTCTAGGTTTTTCTCTCATTTCTTTTTTTTTTCTTCTTTTTCTGCCTCTCGAGCGATTTTCTCTCCTCCGTCGTCCCCGATCCTTACCTCTGCACCACCACCACCGTCGCCATCAGCCCTCCTTTGATCACGATCGGATGTGGCTGAATGACAAGGTTTTAATTTTCTTTCCTTTTTTCCATTTCATTTCTATAATTTCGTTCTTCGTGTTTTTGCTTTCCTTGGAAGAACAATTTTTTTTTTCTTCTCTGAATTCTTTGTTTGGCAAACCATAGAAAATTTTTACTACTTAGTACTCTTTCTCTCCACTTAGCAAAATAAATACATAACTTTAAAAAAAAATTGCGTTTTTCTCTGTGTCTGTGCTTTTGGCACAGTGCGATTCACGATTTGCTGAGCTTCTTTCACCCGAGTGGAGCCCTACGTTGTATTCTTCCTCCATCGTTTTGTGTCTGTCGCCTCCTCCATTCTGTCACTGCTTTTTCCTTCTTTTTTTTTTTTGGCTTCCGATTTGCTTCTTCTCTTTCGTTTTGCTGGAAATCTTGCATTTGTTTCTTTGTGCCTTTGTTTTTGCCGGTTCTTTTGTGTGATTTGGGTGGAAATGTTGCCACTTTTTTATCCGTTTAGTTCGCTGATTCGAGTTTTTAATTCGAGTTAAGATTGTGATGTTACGTGAGAGCTTTTTACTGTAGTAAAAAAGTTAAATGTGACTGTTTCTGAGAGCTTTTTACTACTGTAACAAAACTCGAATTTTAAACTCGAATCGGCGAAGTGAACGGGGCATTTGTTTTTTCAATTCCTTCACTGAATCGATTTGTGATTTTTTTGCTGGTTTATGTTGTTATGTTCGTTCGCGACTCCCTCATTCTTCTTTCTTGCTTTTGTGTTGGTTTCAATCACCGATTTCGTTTGGGTTTTTGCATGTTGATTTTTCACTCTTCGTTTTCATTTTTTTCCTTTTTTTCGTTGTTTCTTTTCCTTTTATTTTATTTAATTTTTGTTTTCAATAAAAAGAATTTTTAATATTTAAGCTAAAATCTAGATATGAAGCTCATCATGATTTTTGGTATTTGATAAGTTGTTTAGTAAATTTCTAATGGTTCATACATAGGTTAGTGAATATGCTGAGCACAACAATGCAATCTTGCTGGTTGTTGTCCCTGCTGCTCAAGCACCTGAAGTTGCCTCATGCCGAGCTCTCAGAGTTGCCAAGGAATTTGACGGAGATGGTAAAATTGCTATTTTTTTAACCTATACTGTCTTTTCTTTTTCCTTTTTTGTTTTAGAATTTCTATCCTCCCGGTGTGAGGATTCTGAGATGTTGTTTGTACACCTTGAGCCCTTGATAATTTTCTTCTGTACATGTGCTGATTGTTTTCTGAGTTTCTGCCCCATATTACCCCTCTACTAGTGTGTATCATTCCTCTTCTCCAGCTCTACATTTTTTTAAAAGTTTTTTTTGGGGCTAATGGGAAACTAATATTGATTACAGGTACGAGAACCATTGGTGTAATCAGCAAAATAGATCAAGCTGCTTCGGACCAGAAAGCTCTTGCTGCAGTTCAGGCTCTTCTGTTAAATCAGGGGCCATCAAGGGCTTCGGATATGCTCTGGGTTGCATTAATCGGTCAGTTAGTTTCAATAGCTTCAGCACAGTCTGGATCTGTTGGTTCTGAGAATTCTTTAGAAACAACATGGAGGGCTGAGAGTGAAAGTCTCAAGTCCATCCTGACTGGAGCTCCTCAAAGTAAGCTAGGCAGAATAGCATTGGTGGATGCTTTAGCTCAGCAAATTCGCAGTCGTAGGAAAGTCCGCCTTCCTAACCTCCTATCTAGGTAAATTTCTTAGACAAATTCTGGATGTGTACTTTCTAATACATGCACACTTGATCTTTATGGTAGTTTATAAATTTGTTAAATAACCATTTAGTTACAACTTGGTGTTTGTTGGTTTGCTAACAAAAGCTATTTACGAGTAAATTCATCCCTTTTCTACCCTGAATCCAAATGTGATATCAAATTTAGTAGGGAATGTGTTTCACATTCGCCCTTTTATATTTTGCAGGTTACAGGGTAAGTCCCAAATAGTCCAGGATGAGTTAGTTAGGCTTGGTGAGCAGAATGGTGCAAAGTGCCGAGGGCACCAGAGCAATAGCTTTAGAACTTTGCCGTGAATTTGAGGATAAGTTTCTTCAACACATTACGAGTGGTGAGGTAATTTTTCTTTTGTAATACCTTCTTCTGGAGATTTTTATTATTTAATAATTTGCACGCCAGGTCCCTGAGTATTATTTTTTTTTTCTCCCTATTTATTGTCTTGAACGTGCTTATAAATGTGTACAAGATTCATTTAGTTGCCACTTTTGCTAACAAACTTCTATTGTAGGGTTCTGGTTGGAAAATTGTTGATCTGTATAATCGAAATGTTAATTTTTTGTGTTTTTTATTATTGGTTTCATTTCCCTGTGGTTTACATGCTTCTTAACACATGTTGTTAATCAATCATTATACAGTTGATATTTGTTTGTTGGTTTTGTTATCAGATTATCAGTAGAATTATCTTATCTTTGTATGTAAACTATGTTTTTTTTATTAGGATGGTTTTTTGTTTTCTTTCTATTTTCCTTCTCTCACTATTATATATCTTCTTCTACCTTTTCTATTTTCCTCCTCTTTACCAATATTCGAAGTTTCGTTGTTGTGCTATGTCTATTCTATCCATTGTTCTCCTTCGACTGAGGTATGTATTTTTTTTATTCTTAGATGTGTTTCTTATCCATTGATCTCCAGATTTTTTCTTTGCATTTAATGAGTCGATGATCTGTGATATATAGACCAGTGATTTGTCTTCCTAGCCTAATCATCTCTACTATGTTTGCGTTAGACATGTTAATTTAATTGGGAATTTTTTAAAATTATTTGAAATATGGAAAATAATTGGGAAAAAAATATTGTTTGGTTTCTCTCTCTTTTTTTCTGGCCTTTTTTTTTATTTCCTCTCTTCTTTTAAATGGTTATTATCTAATTTTTTTCAAGTGTTTTAAGTTGGTTCTTTTGTTCTCTATTAATATGTACTGCTGCTAGATATGAATTTATTATGTATTTTGCTGATCTTTCCTCCAGTACTTGACCTTTTTTTCTATTGCATTCCCCTTCCGATCATTTACTGCCTTACTTCGCTTCTAAACATTTATTGCTCTTTCATTATTTACTCCTCTACCTCTATATCCTTATGTTTTTCTACTGACTTGGTTAAAATTTGGTTGGCCCACATTTTGGGTTTAAGGCAGCATTTACAAGGTTTCATGTACCATCAATAACTTCTATCTGCAGTTTTTTAATATATAATGTTGATATTAAATGTATTGGTCTGCTAATATTGTTAACATGTGTTGTTTGTTTTTTATGATTTCTGTTCATATAAGTTTTTATTATGTTATTAATAAATGTTAGTAATTTATAGTCTTTAAGAAGGATCCTACTTCATTGTTAATCAATATTGCTAAGATATTAACTTTATGTTTATTGGTTTCTCATATATGTATGTATTTTATGTATTTTATTGTTGTGAATGTATCTTTTCTATTTGGATTTTGATTTCCTATATTCTTTTTATCTAAAATTTCTTGATTATTCTCTTTATCTTTTGGCTGCTTCTTCTCATGATATTGATTTTTTGGTGATTTACTCTTCGATACTATATATGTCTTTATATGACACATTTTTGTTTTAACTGATTTTTTAATGTGACGATGACAGTTATTATTAAATTTCACATGTTGAGTTTTATGTAAATTATCCAAAAATTGCCGTGATTATGCTTTCCTCACTTTGATCGTGATTTTGTTTATTTTTTTATTTATCTTATGTTTTTGTTCCTTTTTCTGGTATTATTCAATTTTTGCTATTACTATTTCATTGAAAACTTATTCACTCGTAAATCTTTCTTACTTGGATTCTGATTGACCAATTGTTTTTGACTAAAAGTTTTTGCCTGTCTTTTTTATAGTTCTTTCCGGTTTAAAAAAAAAAGGAAAAAATTCCTATCTTATTGCAGTTTATTTATGATTTTAAGTTATATTGTATTTTTTGTTCTTTAGTTTTCATTCCCTTTGATTATGAGTTATCTCCTTTGCTTTTTTCCTTTCTTTCTCTTTTCTTTTCCTGAGAAAGAGCTTCTCGGTTTTTTTAGTACTTTGTCTTTTGATTGTACAACATTGTTCTCAATTTTTATTTGCTTCATGTGTTATTGATTTCAGGTTTTTGGTCATTTTGGTCCACATTTAAAAAAGGACGACTTTCTCTTTGTTTGTCAATGGTTTTGATTTATTTGGGATTTTTGATATTTCTTCCCGTAATTTGTTTATTTGGTTTGAATTGTATAGTTTAGTGTCGTTTGCTTTCTTCCATTTCCTGTTCCTTCTTCCTTTCCTGCGCAAGAACTTTTAGTTTGTTATTTTGCCCAAACATTTCTACATATACTTTTGGCTTAAGTTTTTTATTTCATGGTTTCATTGCTTTTTTCATATCTTTGTTCTGTCTGGTTTATTGATTTCATCTAACAACTTTCTTCAGTTTTATACCAAGTAGATTCTGTTTTCGTTTATATTTTGTTATTGTTATCCTATTTATGTGTTCTTTATTTTTTTCTTTTTAATTTTTTCAACTTTGTTAATCTTTTTTTTTTCCTTTTGATTGTTTTCTCTTTACTTATTTAATTTTTTTGGACAATTTCATATTTTACTCAACTCATTTAATCTCTGCTACATAAATATTATAAAATTATGTGACATATATAATATCTTGCTGATTTTGGTGCTTTTGTGTAGTTAACATTAACGTTATTAATTCTATTAATAACAGTTACATAGGCAGCCACATAAGCACTATCAAATCTTGCTGATTTTGGTGCTTTTGTGAGTTTTACCATTAACATTTTTAATTCCATTAAAAACAGTTACATAGGCGACCACAAAAATACTATAAATATCGGTCACATATTACCGTTATCATTGAATATTTGAGCTACAATTACTATATAAAAATATTACTATGTTTATATTTTATTACTTCTTTTTCCTTTGATTTTTTTTCCTTCTTTAATTTATAGGTTTATTTACATATTTATTTATATACATTTTCCACTATTTTTAATTTCCTTTCTTTTTCTCCAATAAAATATATATGATCAAGTTTTATTGAAGACTTTTAATTTGTTTGTTCGTCTATAGAGAAGAAAGCAACTATAGGACATGGAAATTTATATTTATTTATTCATTTCTATATGAATTTTATTTGTATATGAAAATTGTGTCCAAATCCCGCTATTAATATATCATCACTCTTTTTATTCTTATTGTACCCACTATTTCTGACTTAAGTCTATTGACAATCACTCTGTACTCTTCTTTTACTTATTTCAATGTCTTTTCCTTCCCTATTTCCTTCTATAATTTAAATTTGTTAACAATCTATTTGTTTTTCTCTTTGCTTATTCCAATACCTCTTTTTTTTTTGTATTGTCGTCTCATTCAGAAATCATTCACACTTGATTCACTTCCATTTTTTCCCCGGTGTTATTGCCTTGACAGCCCATTTTGCAATTTTATTCTGTTTATTCGTTTTAACTATGCTTTGTTGCAAAATATGCGTTGCAAGCTATATTGTTTTTCTAACGTTAGTCCTTTCCTCTTTTACACTGATCTAAACAGTAATCTTTTTGTAATACTACAGTTTAGACTCTTTTGTACTTAGCTTCTAATCTACTTTATTTACTCTTCACTACCCTACTTTCCTTCATTTGTTACTGCATTAGATTATATTGACCACCTATCTCTTTATTTTCTCATTATTTCCGGTTCTTTCGCTTGCTATATAAATTGACTTATTTATCTTACGTTGATGAACATATTCCATATCTAAACCACCATTATTGTACAAGGATCATATTTATTCACATATTATCAATTTTGCTAACTACTTTTCATACTTTATGTTCCGCATTGTTTCACTTGCTAATTCATTCACATTTTGATACATGTCATGTTCATGCTTTTCATTTTATTTATAAACTTTGTGCAGCAAGGCTTATTACAGTGAATTTTTAATTTCTTTGCTCATTTATGATGGAAGAAGCTCAAAATATGCATATGCATATGTTAATTCATTCACTAATATAGCTTTTGTTGATAAATTTAATTTATTCATTATTTGTATCTTATTATTTAATTTTGTACATAATTTTATATAGCAGTGTAAATTTAAACTTTTGTTGTCATATAAATTTTTAATGTTATTTAGTTCATTACAGACATATATGCAGACATGAATATTATTCAGTTTGTCCCAGACATAAAAATGCATATATCAATTTATTGCACAGTTTTTTAAGTCCTATACTTTTCACCTGCCTTTGCTTGGCTGCTACTCCCTTAAGGCAGTTTTTTTATAATGTTGATAGCATTACAGGTACGGTTAATAACTATTGTCTAGATTTTATTAATGTTTGCTATTAATAATTTTTTTTTTCCAAATTTATGTTTTGCAACTAAAAGGGAGAGGAAAAGAACAAAGAAGACTTGAAACCCAAAGACATTGTAAATAACCTCTTATAACAACATCATAAAGACATGTTCATGTATAAATATGTATATATAAATTAATATTCTGTTATAAAAATTATTAGCTGTTTACATAATATAAAATTATTACCGCTGTAACGCGGAGATAAGGCTAGTGTCACTCTAAATCTAAAACCTATTGCAGTTCTCTATTGCATTGCAGTTCTCTTTAAAGCCCATTGTCTGTTCTTCAAATTTTTATGTCATGGGCCTAAAAGTTTAATTAGGCTTTTAGAAAATCCACGTGATTTACACAAGAAGTTTTATTCACGTCCCATACTTTTATCAATACACCCCATTTTAAAGAATATATTTCTTTATTACAGTTATACCCCTGTACTTGAACGTTTTGTGTCAGTCTCGTTCATTTTACCGATTTGAGTTTTCAACTTCAGTTTTGTTACAGTTAAAAGTTCTTATAAAAAGTCACATTTAACTTTTTTTACTACAGTTAAAAATTTTAACATAAAATCATATCTCAGCTTGAATGAAAACTTGAATCAGTTAATTGAATGAGGCACCGTTGGTACACTCACAAGTTTTGTATAAACAAATCTCTGTTCAGGAAAAAAAATTCTCTATTAGGCATGAGTGGGTGTTTTCGATGTTGTTTTGAATTGTTGCATCTTTCTTCATAAGATGGGTTTTAGCCCTCTGGGTTTGAGTTTGTGTTGGGGGAAGCTTCTTGCTTTCTTGTGTTAGACTACGGTGATTTTCTGCGACAAAATTTGCTTTGACATAATGGCAAAATTATTTACATGTAGTGAGTATAGAGCAAAAGAACTGTG